CTAAAACCCTTCATTTCACCATTATGGTAAAGTGAAGGGCCCCTGCCCCACTCTAAATTTCTCTACCCTAGACTTAATTTCTGTGATTTTTATATTCAGGACATCAAACTGATATAATCTAAAACAGATTTGGATTAAAATAGTCAAATAGGAAAAAAAATGCAAAAACCCTTCATTTCACCATTATGGTAAAGTGAAGTGCCCCTGCCCCACCCTAAATTTCTCTACCCTAGACTTAATTTCCGTGATTTTTGTATTCAGGACATCAAACTTATATAAAGTAAAACAGATTTGGATTAAAAAAGTCAAATGAAAATTTTTTGCTAAAACCCTTCATTTCACCATTATGGTAAAGTGAAGGGCCCCTGCCCCACCCTAAATTTCTTTAGCCAGACATAATTTTTGAGATTTTCATATTCAGGACATCAAACTGATGTTATCTAAAACAGATTTGGTTTAAAAAAGTCATATAGAAAAAGAAATACTAAAACCCTTCATTTCACCATTATGGTAAAGTGAAGGGCCCCTGCCCCACCCTGATTTTCTCGACCCCAGACATAATTTTTGTGATTTTTATATTCAGGACATATGTAAAGTAAAACAGATTTGGATCAAAAAAGTCAAATAGAAAAAAAATGCTAAAACCCTTCATTTCACCATTATGGTAAAGTGAAGTGCCCCTGCCCCACCCTAAATTTCTCTACCCTAGACTTAATTTCCGTGATTTTTATATTCAGGACATCAAACTGATGTAATCTAAAACAGATTTGGATTAAAAAAGTCAAATAGGAAAAAAAATGCTAAAACCCTTCATTTCACCATTATGGTAAAGTGAAGCGCCCCTGCCCCACCCTAGATTTCTCTAACCCAGACATAATTTTTGTGGTTTTCAGATAGAATACATCAAGTTGAAGTAAACTTAAAGAAAATGATTGGAAAAACGTTTGTCAGAATAGAAATCGTTTGAACACTTCATTTCACCATGGGGCGGTTCATATTACCATTATGTTAATATGAACCGCGGTTCATTTCACCATGCTTCACAATACCATGCTACACCGGGCTAGACACCTTCCCTCACCCATGGGACAAACTTTTCTGTAAAAAGGAATATTCTCGAGACGAATATCCCTTTTCAAATGTTTTCATAAAGTGCATATACGCAATGACGAACTACACATGCATAAAAAAGAGAAACGTTTGTGAATTTTATTATTACATTGTACAACTCAATGTCTTTGGCCATTTTTTTTTCTAGACCATGCATATAAATTTATGTATACTCTCTTTCCCACTTTCACTGTTTCCATACGCTAACACTTAGTAAGTCATATTTAAGCCATCACACACAATAAACTGTATGGCAATACCACTACGTGTACATGTAGAATATGTGTCAGATATGGAACGCGTTGAGATATTTGATAATTATATTTTTTCAATACTTTACATAGATTAAAGCATTCTTGTAAATGGACCCTTTTTTATGTTGAGACAACTTTTCTTTAATCATTTCATTTTTGTCCGAAACAGAAGCAGTAGTTATCGGCAGCACGCATCATTTTTACAACGTAAACAAATATTTTTCCCCTGTTTTCAATACGTATTCCGATTCTATCTGAAGTCGAAAATTAATTCTTTATAGAGAAAAGGTTGTTACATGATCATACATTCTAAGTCAACATCATGTGAAAACATGAACTGTTGAAAAATTACGATTTAAAAAAAAAAGTTATGCGATCCTATTTACTTGAAATACGATAGGTTCTCCTTCCTCAGTTATTCATCCTGGTCTGTCATTTTGACATTTTTAATCTAGCTGCGATAACGTAGCTTTCTGACAAAGAGCGATTTTTATATACGTTGAATCGTCACGCAAGAGGCCGGGTATTCATATTGGTACTAATTTAAATCTTGCATGTAAAAACAAAAAAAACGTTTATTTCAGCAATATAATTAAATCATGCCATTTTACTGAACCCGGTAATATTATAAATTAGGTAACTGTGATAGCGCACGTATGTCATTTGACCCCGAGTACCGACAGAGGAGAGAACAGAATACGCCATGGCCATCACAACAGTTATCCCTTGGAGGGCCTCATGGCAAAATCAAACTAACCAGTCACTTATCCCTTCCTTTCGCATAAACCACTGTATAAGACAAAGAATTACTAGCAAGGTTAATAGTTTTAGATATTTATTCATAACATAAACAGTGCTAGCATTTCTGTCGATTCCGTTTCAGCTTAACCGGCTACCGGAAGAATACATGCACCGTACTAACTGCTAGGGCAGTTATTTTCTCCTTTGAATACTTCCCACCTGCAATAATGATTCCATAACGTACTTCTTGCGCTATCTTTTGACCATTTGGCAACTTTTTCGCTTCGTAGCTGACACACTTTTCTTTCGCTTACTTCACATAACGGTGATTATCTTAGATTTAATCATTTTTATGAATCTGTTTCAGCCAAATCCGATCGTTATTTTCCATAAGGAGTCTCACTTGATATGTTTATGTAGTATTTGAAAAAAAGACACTAAAACAAGTTACTTCACCGTGAAAACCCTTTAATTTGAGTAGATTTTTTATAATATATATTATATTAATATACATATATGTCTATACAACATAATTCAAGGATTGTCTGATCAATATGTGACCGATGTCGGTCTGGGGAATTGGTACTCAAGTCCGTTTCCAGTTCATTTCTTTATTGTTGCCAACTTCCAGTTCATACTTCTGCATACCATTGCTAGCACCTATCTTAGCTCACTTTCAATCCTGATCTAATCTGGCTCACTTTCCATTTTCCCACTCTGACTCTGTTCTGCCTCTCTGTACTTCCGTCTGCCTTCTCTCTCCCTCAGTCTGCCTTCTCTGTACCTCAGTCTGCCTTCTCTGTACTTCCGTCTGCCTTCTCTGTACCTCAGTCTGCCTTCTCTCACTATCTTTCTGTATCTCTCACTTATACTTGAAACTAAGAAGTGACTAATATCCAAATTAGTTAACTCTATTGGTCAACTGTAGATGGACAGCCATCGTGGGCAATAGAGGTTCCCAGGGCTCCAGCCTGTACCTTCAATTATCACTAATTGACCAGATCTTCATTCCTCTTTAGATGACCGACCAGTTAGCTTCCTGTCCTTTCATCAACCACACCACCATTCATATTTTGTTTCACAATATTTCCTTGTTCTCAACACTCTGTCTTCAGTTCTTTCACTTTCATCTGACATCTATTTAATTCTGTTCTCACGATTACCATTTCTAATTACATAACACACTGTCTTCAAATCTTCCTATTTCACACTGTCATAAACACACCATTCGAGTGAATAATGTAAAATTTAATTCAGGACAACTCTTATATATGTGTGTGAATTTCTCTTCTGTATTGCAAATGGTTTATCAAAAATATATCATACATACTGTATATGGATATCAACATGTAAAATTTACAGATTATGAGTGGTCATAAATGTATTTCAATGATAACATATTTTATATTTTTCCATTCATCCTTGAATAAAAATGCACTGTAAATCTCTTTGATTTGGCAAATACCTTTTTTCATGCTTGCTCTTCCAACAAAATCTTCATTAATACTTGAATTTGCCGATCAAGTGACTACCACTATATGTGCTTGTTTCTTTGTGTCTGAATCGAAATATACCTGAGATATTTGGGTTAGCGATCACGCCTTCTCACAACAGGAAAATCAATATGCCACAAAATATAAGTGATTCATATAATATACAAAACAAAAGATTTTCAATAACAAAACAACTAATAATTATATTAAAATATCACAATCATGGACCATTCTTAATCACAAAGGAATTATAAAATGAAAATTTCAAATACCCGGTATTCAACTTTGATGAGTAACATGATCAGTAACATCAACATAAGAATTTTACATGTGATTCTTATAAACAAGAGGCCCAATGGGCCTGCATCGCTCACCTGGTATAAATCTCACACTTATAACCTTAAAAGTGATCTAAAATAAAGCTACAGGCAAAATATCAGTAATTATGATTAAAATTCATTCAAAAGAGCCTGTTATTTTTTTTTTAAACATTTCACCCCTGTGATTGAAAGTCGAACAAAGTCATTATGCTGAACATATTTTATAGCCTTTCATCTCAGGATGCAACTTGCAAAGTATCAACATCCTGGGACCCATGGTTATTCAGAAGAGGTCGTTTAAAGATTTTGAACAAATTTGACCCTGTTGACCTTGAATATAAGTCAAAGTCATTCACTTTAACAAACATAGTAGTCCTTGATCCCAGCATGCTACTAACTAAATATCAACATCCTGAGCCTTTTGGTTATTCAGAACAAGTTCTTTAAATATTTTGAACATATTTGCTCCTTGTGACCTTGAATATGATTCAAGGTCATACATTTAAACAAACTTGGTAGCCCTTGATCCAAGTATGCTACTGACTAAATATCATCACCCTGGGCATTTTGGTTATTCAGAAGAAGTTGTTTAAAAGTTTTTTAAGACAATTGACCCCTGTGACCTTGAATATAATTGAAGGTCATTCATTTGAACAAACTTGGTAGCCCTTTACCCAAGCATGCTACTGGCCAAATATCGTCTCCCTGGGCAGTTTGGTTATTGAGAAGAAGATGTTTAAAGTTTTTAACATATTTGACCCCTGTGACCTTGAAAATGGGTGAAGGTCATTAATTTTAACAAACTTTGTAGCCCTTCATCCCAGTTTGCTTCTGGCCAAATATCATCACCCTAGGCCTTTCGGTTATTAAGAAGAAGTCATTTAAAGTAAAATATTGACGCCGGACGCCGGACGACGGACGCCGCGCCACGGCATAAGCTCACTTGGCACTTCGTAAATAGTACAATAGCACATATTATTATTATAGAATTAATACAGAAATGAATGTGTATACTTTAAAATGAAAATTATACATTCTTGGTGTAGCTTCGATGAAATCTGTCCAATCTGACACCTGAATATTTTGATATTTTGTCTAATTTGATATTCTACCGTTTACCATGAAATAATCTACCCGTTTCTGCATAAAAACGCTCAATGTTCAGTATCTTTCTATTCTGATTAAACACACATCTCCATCATGACAGCTTTATGTGTCAAATATTTTGAATTATAGGGAATGTTTTAACATGAATCGGTACCGTATGAATGACACATTGTATATAACAGTCAACTATGTCTTACTAGCTTCAGCTACAGGGAAGTTCCTTTAGCTCATTGGTAGGACATCCGACTAGAAAGTCTTGTATCACTGATTCAATCCCAAGCAGAGACTTTTATCATTTATATTGTTCCTTTCTATTACACAGGTATCTATACAAGGAAATCTAGTTAGTTGTAAGTGCCGTCTGCTTGTAACGTGACAACGCGATTCTCCTTTCTTGCCTTTTCAGCAGCAAACACCAGTACATGACCAGCTAAGCTCTCCTCCGGACCAGTCATGATGTTTTCCTTGTTATCATTCTGTAACACAGAAATCAGAGTAAGTTTGGGTACACGAGAGAAGACAGTAAAAACGTACCTCAGAGTAACATTGGGCACAGGTGAGAAACTACAGCAAGATTTAGCTAAAAAAGACTGTGAACAATTTATTTGTTTAGAGCTGAATTGCCTTCATGTTGCAGACTTTATATTTATATCTGGGCTAACTACTAAAACTGTGACATTTGACATTACAGCCCCAGTCAGATTATTGCATCATGTTCTTTATCAAGTTTCGAAATAAAGATCCTGGTGTGGGCCAACAAAATTTTGTCACTTGACAGGTAGGTCATAAAACAAAAATAGAAAATGTCTGTAAGACATAAATGCCCCCGCTCATGGACGGGACGAACAGGGGCGGGGGCATTAAAATGGCAACATAATGATATACTACATGGGTATAAATAGATTCATTGTTTCAATAATGAGAATGTTGATAATTATATCCAATTTAAATTTTCTGAAATTTTGAAGTTGAAATTTCTTTTAATTTTGACAGCACTTCCAATTCTAAAGGATTATTCTAAATAACAAATAGTATATTTACTTACCGCCACACTACTGATAAAGGAATGTATACAATGGAAATCTGCGCCACCATGTCCCGACATCCCTCTGACCCTTGTAGGTTCAGCTGGATACTCATCTGAAAATAAATCATGAATATATTCAACACATAATTTGTGTAGATAATGTCACAAAGCTGTATCTAGGTAATGTCACAAAACTGTGTGTAGATAATGTCACAAAGTTGTGTGTAGATAATGTCACAAAACTGTGTGTAGATAATGCCACAAAGCTGTGTGTAGATAATGTCACAAAGCTGTATCTAGGTAATGTCACAAAACTGTGTGTAGATAATGTCACAAAGTTGTGTGTAGATAATGTCACAAAGCTGTGTGTAGATAATGCCACAAAGCTGTGTGTAGTAATGTCACAAAGCTGTATCTAGGTAATGTCACAAAGCTGTGTGTAGATAATATCACAAAGCTGTGTGTAGATAATGTCACAAAGCTGTGTGTAGATAATGTCACAAAGTTGTGTGTAGATAATGTCACAAAGCTGTGTGTAGATAATGTCACAAAGCTGTGTGTAGATAATGTCACAAAGCTGTGTGTAGATAATGTCACAAAGCTGTGTGTAGATAATGTCACAAAGCTGTGTGTAGATAATGTCACAAAGCTGTGTGTAGATAATGTCACAAAGCTGTGTGTAGATAATGTCACAAAGCTGTGTGTAGATAATGTCACAAAGCTGTGTGTAGATAATGTCACAAAGCTGTGTGTAGATAATGTCACAAAGCTGTGTGTAGATAATGTCACAAAGCTGTGTGTAGATAATGTCACAAAGCTGTGTGTAGATAATGTCACAAAGCTGTATGTAGGTAATGTCACAAAGCTGTGTGTAGATAATGTCACAAAGCTGTGTGTAGATAATGTCACAAAGCTGTGTGTAGATAATGTCACAAAGCTGTGTGTAGATAATGTCACAAAGCTGTGTGTAGATAATGTCACAAAGCTGTGTGTAGATAATGTCACAAAGCTGTGTGTAGATAATGTCACAAAGCTGTGTGTAGATAATGTCACAAAGCTGTGTGTAGATAATGTCACAAAGCTGTGTGTAGATAATGTCACAAAGCTGTGTGTAGATAATGTCACAAAGCTGTGTGTAGATAATGTCACAAAGCTGTGTGTAGATAATGTCACAAAGCTGTGTGTAGATAATGTCACAAAGCTGTGTGTAGATAATGTCACAAAGCTGTGTGTAGATAATGTCACAAAGCTGTGTCTAGGTAATGTCACAAAGTTGTGTGTAGATAATATAACAAAGCTGTGTGTAGATGATGTCACAAAGCTGTATCTAGGTAATGTCACAAAGTTGTGTGTAGATAATGTCACAAAGCTGTGTGTAGGTAATGTCACAAAGCTGTGTGTATATAATGTCACAAAGTTGTTTGAAGATAATGTCACAAAGCTGTGTGTAGATAATGTCACAAAGCTGTGTAGGTAATGTCACAAAGCTGTTTGTATATAATGTCACAAAGTTGTTTGAGGCTAATGTCACAAAGCTGTGTGTAGATAATGTCACAAAGTTGTGTGTCACAAAGCTGTGTGTAGATAATGTCACAAAGCTGTGTGTAGATGATGTCACAAAGCTGTATCTAGGTAATGTCACAAAGTTTTGTGTAGATAATGTCACAAAGTTGTGTGTAGGTAATGTCACAAAGCTGTGTGTAGATAATGTCACAAAGTTGTGTGTAGATAACGTCACAAAGCTGTGTGTAGATAATATCACAAAGCTGTGTGTAGGTAATGTCACAAAACTGTGTGTAGATAATGTCACCAAGCTGTGTGTAGATAATGTCACAAAGCTGTGTGTAGATAATATCACAAAGCTGTGTGTAGATAATATCACAAAGCTGTATCTAGGTAATGTCACAAAACTGTGTGTAGATAATGTCACAAAGCTGTGTGTAGATAATGTCACAAAGCTGTGTGTAGGTAATGTCACAAAGCTGTGTGTAGGTAATGTCACAAAGCTGTGTGTAGAAAATGTTACAAAGCTGTGTGTAGATAATGTCACAAAGTTGTGTGTAGGTAATGTCACAAAGCTGTGTCTAGGTAATGTCACAAAGCTGTGTGTAGATAATATCACAAAGCTGTATCTAGGTAATGTCACAAAACTGTGTGTAGATAATGTCACAAAGCTGTGTGTAGGCAATGTCACAAAGCTGTGTGTAGATAATGTCACAAAGTTGTGTGTAGATAATGTCACAAAGCTGTGTGTAGATAATGTCACAAAGTTGTGTGTAGATAATGTCACAAAGCTGTGTGTAGATAATGTCACAAAGCTGTATGTAGATAATATCACAAAGCTGTATCTAGGTAATGTCACAAAGCTGTGTGTAGATAATGTCACAAAGCTGTGTGTAGATAATATCACAAAGCTGTGTGTAGATAATATCACAAAGCTGTATCTGGGTAATGTCACAAAACTGTGCGTAGATAATGTCACAAAGCTGTGTGTAGATAATGTCACAAAGCTGTGTGTAGGTAATGTCATAAAGCTGTGTGTAGATAATGTCAGAGAATCTGTGTAAGTATATTTTTACTTCATAATTGAAATTAAACAAGAATTATGCGTATTTACATAAGATTCAATGTGTCAAGCATTGTAAGTTTGAGCCAAAGTTCAGAATTTTACATTTAAGGATCCCCGTCCCACCCAGAGCAAAACACTAAAGAATTCCACCGTCGTTTTTCAGTGTTAGAGTCCCCTGCCCCTGATTACCATTTCGACAATGTTGTTATCTTCCCTTGAATAGATTTCGTTTGAAAAATGTTTCGACTACAGAGTTGTGTCCCTTGCGTTGAAAATCTCCAATCGCGAAAGTGAGGGGGGAAAAGCTGTCGTAACAATGTAAACAACGTCGTCATGGCAGTCATTAGCGACACACTCGCAAGCCCGACGTAAAAACGTCCGTTTTAAATGTAAACGAAACACATATACTGACAATAATAACAACAATGTCCAATATGAACTGCTTGACCACGACTATGCGACAAAAAATGTGACACTCGTTCACACCTTGAAGACATGCTATCTACTGGGGCCCCTACTGACAATCTGACTGATGAGCCGACACCGATGAGGATCCCTTCAGTACTACTAATAGTGACCAAGAATACACCAATAACTGTTTAACCTGGTCGCAGGGTAGACGAGTGGTTGAACTCGCGGTGCTATCGGAATACCTGCACCAGAAAGGTTGTAAGGAATGCGGCACTAGGCTACGGCTGTGCAATACCCAGCAGGAAGGACATTATGGCATTGGATGTCTTTTATACATACAAGTAAGTGTATCAGACGCTCAGACGCCATCACAATAGTCAAGATTATATTTTTATATAACTGACTCTCTCCTCAAAAAAGTGTTTGGTGTGGTTGGGAGACACCACATAAAAAAATAAGGAGAGAGTGCATTATTCCGGTCTTTATATCGTCTACATGTAGTACACGTATATATTCAGTGTGATGTTGACGTGATGGTGGGGTTTCAGGAATTTTTAAATGTCTTGTCTGAATTTGTCAACCCAACACTGAAAGTTCGTGTGACAAGTGTAAAAAGGTGCATCAGAGTATTTCCAAGCACTTTAAAAACTCTTCATGAAACTTGGAACTGTATGTTTATTTGTCGACTGGTTTATACAAGGAATAATGCTTCTCTGTGATCTTTGTTTGATTTGTTATTATATTCCCAATAGGCCTATATTTCAAGTTAATTTTTTTATATTACATACAACAGTGATTTATGTAATGTTATATTTTAATGCCACGATATTGTATGTTGTTATTTGTACATAATGTAAAAGTTTATTATTGTTTTATATTATGATATCTGTTATACCACAATAGTATGTTGTTATCTGTATATAATGACAAACTCTATTATTGCAATATAATGTGATATTTTTTATATCACACTATGGTAAGTTTACTATTGTTTTGTTCAGAATGTAAAACTTTATTATTGATGTATAGTGTGATTTTTTATATCACAACATAGTATGTTATTTGTACAGTATTTAGAAATTTATTATTGTTGTGTAAAGTATGTGGAACTTTGTTATTGTTGTTGATTGTGACATTTTTGCTACGACACAGTAAAGTACCTTGTTTGTTATAATGTTATTTATACACAATGTGCAATTTGTTTTATATTGGTCATTACATTTGAAGTAATTTTATTGGTTGGTATGCCTGCTGTATTATATTTGTATATAAAAAGTGCTATATTGTATGTTGCAAAATGTATATATGACTTTTTGAGATTTATAATTATTATTGTTACAAATGTAAGAGTTGTCTCCCTTTTTTGTTTAGTTTTTTTGGTATCATTTTTTTTTTTGGTACGATAAGTAAGTCTGCCAGATATTTATTTTTTGTCACCTATATTTTCTTTTCGTTGTCCTTAACGTGTTGCATTGGCACTCAGAATTTTATTAATTAATTAAATTAGCATATTTGTTTGTTTTATTATTATTGTTAGAAAATTACTATATTTTTTTGTGTTTTGTTCATCAATGTTGACATTGTTATTATTTTTTATGTGATATATTTGTAATAAACCATTGTTGCATCAAATGATATATATTTTGTTTCATTTTGTTCAATTGCAAAAAAAATCAATATTTTTTTTTCGAAATTTCATGATTTCCCAAAAAATCTTAAGAAAATCCCGCAAGGTATGGGTTATTGTTCAGAAATAATTTGCTTATGCAATAGAGATGCCGCAGACAAAAAAAACAATGCCTCATTACGTTTTAAGGCGGAGGGATGGGTATCCTTAATAAACAAGTTTGGCAATACATCAACATGGAGGCATAAAAGGAACAAGTGCTAATTGTGATGGGAGCCAGCCATTACAGATGTCCCCCAAACTACCCCGCAGGAGAACGGATCTCGTAGTGCCATAATACACGTACATACCAAATTTGAGAATTAGCAGAAGCCAGTATACAACGACCATCTTGTCAGTATAATTATAAGGCGAGCAATGGCGGAATAGTAACACCTAAATCCCGCCTCCGCGACATCCGACGCAGGCGAGTCAATAATGGCTTGGAATATACATGTGCCAGTGTTGACAGAACCAGATCAGATAAAGAAACTTACGGCTTTGTCCAGTTAGGAAGTCAAAGTGCTGGATTACAGGACTGCCAGTCGCAGTACAGGACAGCTGTCCCTATGGTAACAAATACATAAATAAATACACAATCACCTTTATCTGAAACTGAATATAAACATTAAGACTAGCTTACTTTTCCAAGGGAATGGTGGAGGATTGGGGGGATTAATTTGTGGAGCAGCAATAATCTTTATTTCAACTATTCACATGAATGACAGCACATTTCCCCCACCTATATTGGGTACACAAATCACGTTAGTTTGGAAAAGATCTGTCGTGTAGTATGTAAAACGAACAGTACCAAACAGGTACATAAATATGCTCATTCTTGTATTTTTGTAAATATAATTTGATATCTTAATTAGATGGTTGAAAACCTACCCTAGTTTCATGAAAATCAAATGGTTACAGTTAACAAAGGGCAATAACTCTGTAAATTATTTATTTATTGGATGAATGTGTTGATAAAACTGCAAAACTTTGTTTAACTTTACCTTAGTACCGTAGACCTTGACCTCTCTCGTACAGACAGACTTAGTGAAGGCCATCATGGTTAGAGTGGCTGTAGCTCCGCCCTCAAACTGCATGTTCACCACCTTGGTAAGACAGAATTTGGGTAGCAAAGGTCACAGACTAGATACACTACATAATATATCATTTGAAACTAACAAGGAATTTCAATTGTACATAAACATAAGATGAGGTCTAAAAACACTTTTTTATTTAAGTTTTGAATAAAAATAAAAATGTTTTCATTACCGGAAGAGAATTTGCAGAAAACTAAATGTTTGGTTTTATAGAGTTTAACGTCCTATCAACAGCTAAGGTTATTTAAGGACGTGCCTCAATTTGCATAATGTATGCGTGCTTGTGTGTATGTGTGTATGTGTACCAGAGGCAGGGTATGTCGAGGTAATTGCCTCCTGGCGATAGCACTGATCTGATGCCAACTCTATCTCATTGAAATACCATGCTGAAGGCACCCAGCACAGCACTCCACCCGGTCACATTATACTGACAATGGGTGAACCAGTTGTTGCCATTTCCCTAAAGCTGAATGTTACGCTTTGAAAAAAAAACTAACATTTTTAAGGCCTTAAGTATGTCCCAGCACAGGGACAAAACCCATTGCCTCCCTCATCTGGGCAAACATTCAACATTTCAGCCAAAAGTTAGGTACACAGCACCAGGCAACAAAGGGTAGTTAGAAGTAGAGAGAATAACAAAGATCCCAAATATTGCAATGGGTGCGGCAGATTTATTTTGGTCACTTTTGTTGTTCCCAAGTAGAAGGCACAAACACAAATCCCCAATTCTGCAGGGGTTTCCACATTAGTCGCCTCTTTCGATTTTCTTTTCTAAATCCCCGACATGCAGGCCCGGCTTACAACCAAAGAAATATTTTCACTAATTAGTTTGTATTTGATGTTGCTGATTACTATGGTAACTGCAAATACAGCAAACCTGAATCTACACTGTGTACCTACATGGTGGCAAAAGTCAACGCCACTTCAGGGCATGTTTATAACTCAGAGCCATGTCTCTCCCAACCTACCTGATTAGACATGACGTCGTTGTCGTTGTCGTAGACACACACGCCGTATGGACCTGTCTTAAGTGCCGTTGTCACACTCTCTACCGACGGCTCTTCTGCTATCACGCAAACCGGGAAACCATTGTGTCCCTGGAATTAAAAAAAAAATCTGTTTTTAGAATCATCATTTACAAAAAAAACACCTTTGTATGATAATTTCAAGGAACAAAGAAACAACATAGTAAGCAAAAATTAAAGTACAGATCTATAACAATGTTTTGTTACACTTCCAAGTTAAGTAAATTTACTTTAAAAAAACAAGAGATCCCAGAGGGATCTTGGCGCCCACCTTTGTACCATCTTCATTAGTTCTTTGTCAGTTCGATCTTTTCTCTTCTTTCCTCTAATCTGTTTGATCGAGTCATGTTAACAGTAAATGCACCTTGATGTAACTTTTGATCTAAACTTAATACTGATGTGTATGGAAGCCAACCTTCAAAGTGAGTTTGCCATTTCACATATTTACTAGTACAGTACTTAATGTGAAAGAAATAGAATCGATCATTGCAATATGAGAAAGATCTGTTCAGTTTTTCTTTTAATCCATTTTGTTTTTATGATCAGTCTCAAAATATAACATACACAATGAGGGATCAAGGGGAACCTACATTAAAATTTGAGAAAGATCCCTCCCGTACTTCCCGAGAAATAGCGATAACAAACTTTCACTATCAAAATCCAGGGGAACCTACATATAAAATTTAAGAAAGATCCCTATAATTCTTCTGGAGAAATAGCGGTAACAAACCCACACTATCAAAATCCAAGATGGCTACCTGTCGGCCATGTTGTTTATCCAGTCAATCTCAAAAGTTGCCCTGCACAGCTAAGGACCAAGGGGAACCTACATATAAAATTTGAGAAAGATCCCTCTGATACTTCCCGAGAAATAGCAATAACAAACTTTCAATATCAAAATCAAAGATGGCTGCCTGTCGGCCATGTTGTTTATCCGATCAGTCTCAAAAAAATACCCTGCACAGCTAAGGACCAAGGGGAACATACATATAAAATTTGAGAAAGATCCCTCTAGTACTTCTTGAGAAATACCGATAACAAGAATTGTTTACGGACGGACGACGACGGACGACGGACGACGGACGAATAGCGAATAGCCCACTATCAGATGATGGTGGGCTAAAAATTAGTTCACTGGATATATACCTATATAACCATGCTGTTGACACTATGGTCAAATATATAACACTGAGTACTTATATAACCATACTGTTTGTCATCTTCATTTGCATAAAAGGATCTCACTTCTACATCGTATGTTGTTCAAACAGTTTTTATACAACTGCTATAGTATATATATCTCTGTCAATTCTTTATGCACATACATGTTGACTGATAGAATATTTCCCTACCCTGAGGGTGTGACAGAGAAATGAGCCTCGGGTTAGACACCAAACAAATCACACTGAGGGTTGGAGATTTCTCTGCTACACCCTTAAGTACGTAGGGGATGATTAGTTTTCTCCCATCCTATTATTTCAGTCACAGCTCAACTGACAGTAGGGTTAACAAAAACGCATATAGGGTATGAATATCGTCATTCACTTTTGATGACATCACAATTACCGATGACGCATTTTAATGACGTCACAATTGAACAAGTGCTAATCGGCACAAGGCTATCTCCCCCATGGGGGTGACAAGCTGATCTTTTCCGGCTAAAACGAGAAACACCCCTGTGAAGGGTGGGAGAAATGTACATCTTAAGCTGAATTCCATCAGGATGTGATCCATGCACACTCACTAATTTAATGAGGTTACAAAGTTGTCCTGCAAGCGTGGGAATATGAATACTATGAACTTGCTTGTTACATTTCTCCACGTTCCCTTAATACTTGGAAAGCTTAAATATTCTCAGCATTTGGTCAATCACCAGTGACCGGATAGCTCAATTTTTAGAGCATCTGTCTAGAGTGCTTTAGAGTTGTCAGTACAAATCATAGGTCTAACACTCTATGGGTTCAGCAAGCAGATACCTGAACATGGGTTGTAAATAGTATTGTCTTTACATGTAGACAAAGGCTCAGGACAGAACAGTATAGCGGATCTTGATCGGCTGATCCCAGTGGTCACAGTTTCTTAGTGCCTACCTAGGCCATCTTTATACAAATATGTTTGTCTGCAGTTTCCCGACCGACTCACTGCAATGGCACCTACTCAAATATTTTTGGAAACTTTAGGTACCGGTAAGATAAATTCTTGCAGAAAAATCACTAAAACATAGAATTTCAGGCATATATATTAACATGTTAAGAGACATAAAATTTCTAAAAAATGAAAAAAAATCCCTACCTACCTACCTACCTAACCACTGAATAAAATTATGTAGGAAATATTGGTAACTTAGGTATTGGGTAGGAAAACTGCTAACATTTTTTTTTTTAAGGATGGCCCTAAGGGCATTAGGACTTGTGTAAGAATCAAATCTAAATGGAGTGGTTTAAAATAAGCTATGACAGGTGTTCATTTCTCAATTCTTAAGTTAGGATAAGTATAAGTGCTTACCATTTTAATCTGGTCAAGGTAGATCTTTTTAGCCGAGTAAGGACACTGGGATTCTATACTAGCTGGACATTCCATACAACGGCTGGCCGCTCCTCGGGGCTGTGTCAAACAGGAGGTGGACAACAAAATAGTAAGTTGGAAACAGACAACATGTTGAAAACAATCTAAGAAATAGAAAACAGAATTATATGGAAACTGTTATATATCATGATCAAAGAAACAGGACATTATAAATTTCATCAAATAATTTTTTTTTTAATTCTTTCAGTACATTTTTCAGTTTTCCATTTTCATATATTTTTTCAATACAGTTGAACTGATAAAATATTGGTCCACATATATACTCCTAAAATTACCCCTACACCATGAATACCACTTTTTCTAATTCCATACACCATGAATACAACTTTTTCTTACTCCATATACCATGAAAACCACTTTTTCTAATTCCATACACCATGAATACCACTTTTTCCAATTCCATACACCATGAATATCGTTTTTTCTTACTCCATACACAATCAATACCACTTTTTCTTACGCCTTACACCATAATCACCATTTTTTCTTATTCCATACACCATGAATTCCACTTTTTCCAATTCCATACCCCATGAATCCCCCTTTTTCTAACTCCATACACCATGAATACCCCTTTTTCCAATTCCATACACCATGAATATCATTTTTTCTTACTCCATACTCCATGAATACCACTTTTTCCAATTCCATACCCCATGAATCCCCCTTTTTCTAACTCCATACACCATAAATACCACTTTTTCTTACTCCATACTCCATGAATACCACTTTTTCTTACTCCATACACCATAAATACCATTTTTTCTAACTCCATACACCATGAATATCATTTTTTCTTACTCCATACACAATGAATACCACTTTTTCTTACTCCATACACAATGAATACTACTTTTTCTTACTCCATACACCATAAATACCACTTTTTCTGACTCCATACACCATGAATACCACTTTTTCTAATTCCATACACCATGAATACAACTTTTTCTTACTCCATACACAATGAGTACCACTTTTTCTTACTCCATACACAATGAATACTACTTTTTCTTACTCCATACACCAGGAATATCATTTTTTCTTACTCCATACACAATGAGTACCACTTTTTCTTACTCCATACACAATGAGTACCACTTTTTCTTACTCCATACACAATGAGTACCACTTTTTCTTACTCCATACACCGTGAATACCACTTTTTCTTACTCCGTACACCATGAATACCACTTTTTCTAATTCCATACACCATGAATACAACTTTTTCTTACTCCATACTCCATGAATACCCCTTTTTCTTACTCCATACACCATTAATACCACTTTTTCTTACTCCATCCACCATGAATACCACTTTTTCTTACTCCGTACACCATGAATACCACTTTTTCTTACTCCATACACAATGAGTACCACTTTTTCTTACTCCATACACTATGAACACACTTCTTAATGAACCCCAGTTGAACTGATAAAATATTGGTCCACATATATACTCCTAAAATTACCCCTACACCATGAATACCACTTTTTCTTACTCCATACACCGTGAATACCACTTTTTCTTACTCCATCCACCATGAATACCACTTTTTCTTTCTCCATACACCATAAATACCATTTTTTCTTACTCCATACACAATGAGTACCACTTTTTCTTACTCCATACACCGTGAATACCACTTTTTCTTACTCCATCCACCATGAATACCACTTTTTCTTTCTCCATACACCATAAATACCATTTTTTCTAACTCTATACACCATGAATATCATTTTTTCTTACTCCATACACAATGAATACCTCTTTTTCTTACTCCATACACCAGGAATATCATTTTTTCTTACTCCATACACAATGAGTACCACTTTTTCTTACTCCATACACAATGAGTACCACTTTTTCTTACTCCATACACAATGAGTACCACTTTTTCTTACTCCATACACCATGAATACCACTTTTTCTTACTCCATACACCATGAACACACTTCTTAATGAACCCCATGTTTTCATTTCATCTCCATTTGACAATGTTTGAACTTTTGGTCGTGATGTGCTGTTTAAAAACAATTAAACCTGTATGGTCAATGTTGCAATTGCTCTGCTGAAATATATACTGTAGCCATTCAATGTCTACAGCAAAATCTACATTGTTGTGGGACGGGGGACCGAATTTCAGCCTTTCCCCAGTAGAATTTAGGATTGTGTTATACTGAATACATTGATGTTTATTGATGTCTATTATTGTGGTCTATGAAAATATACATATTTTCATAATTTTGCAATATGATCCCAATTGAAAAAGTGCAAGCCCTAGCAGAAAGGTAGAGATCAGAAATAACGAGAATCCCAGAGACACTGATATATTTAGAGGGTATGTACTATACGGAAGGATCATGCAATCAGATTTGTGGAAGCACTTATACCCGCATTTGATATACTGTGTACCAAGGCTTGTAACTACAATCCATATCAATATGCGTGTGTAAGCAAGGCTAAGGGATATAAAACCAACAACTCAGTATTGTACACGCTTGTCAAAAGAAATGTGCATATCTAACCTTATCTGCTATAGTGAAGTGACTGAGATACCCAAAAGATGAGACCCTGCGACATTTCTTCCCCGGCATCCAATAATTAATTAGATCCACATCGTGACAACACTTTTGTAAGAGTGAACATGAACTCTGGTCTTCCCTTTTCCAGTTTCCCCGCACAAACGAGTGAGCAAAATGCCAAAACCCTACCTGCAACATTTATACAACAGTGGATTATTGCCCTTCATCTGTGACATTTTACAAACTCTTTATTCACTAGATGGCACTGTCTCATCTCACAATATGTATCTAACAGTCTGTCTTGAGACGGATGTCAAGAACCAACAATCTATTTTCAATCAAAGATCATTGACCGAGGTTATAAAATGTTGATTCAAGACGAACCATATTTATCCAGCAATAAGCCCATGCCTGGTAATAAGCCCGCCCATACCTATTGCAGTTCGACAGTAGAAATGCCAATAAACAATAATCCATTGTCCGTTAATAATCCCACTGTCTACTGTAAGTTGAAGTGTACGTGTTGGACCCCATGTTTATTGCAGGATAAACACAGTTATACTAAATTCCTTTGAAAGTGATGTTCCAGACTTATTAGATATATACTGCAAGATAAATGTGTCATCTAGCAATTCAGAGTTTGTAATTAGCACCCCTCAGAATCCTTACCTTGTTCTCCTTATTGAAGTGGCTTAAATGTCCAAATGAGGATACATTTGTACAACGCCTGTCTGCCATCCAGAAGTTTATCAGGTCGACGTCATGGCAACATTTCGCTAACAATGAATTGGAACTTTTGGCCTCATTATGCCAATTACCACGAACATAGGAATGTGCGAAGTGCCAGTAACCAACCTTTTCGGTAAAAACAGTTCAATTACGCAATTATATAAAGTGAAACCTCACTGTATTTAGGATTATTAAAAACATTTTTTTAATGTTTGTGACATATGTTTTACTATGTGACATTTCATTTATATAATGTCCGGAAAATTGGTTATTCAATACTTTGGAGAAAGGTGAACTGAAGATTCTAGATGAACAAGGTTCCAACATAACATGGCACACTTGTCTGCTGGAGAAAAACTGAATCTTGAAAGTTTTTAAATTTCAACACTGTGTGTCCGTCCGTTTGCCATCCCTCCATCTTTCTGTTTGTTTGTGAGTAGGGGGACATCATGAACATGCTATAAATTATCTGATGAGATAATTTTCTGTTACAATTTTGCAGTGTTCTAAATTTGTACAATGACATGTCATGCGTTGATAACTTTCTGTGAAAACTGATGATATATATGACATGTTGCAAGCTTCAAGAATTTTCTTTTAAATGAGTCTGAAAATATGATCATATAGCAAAGGTCATAACTCAATTTTTTTTTTTTTAAAAAACAACTATTTGTGCTTTTTGTGCTATCGACAACTTTCTACCATCTGTCTGGTATTGCTAACTTACAGGTTCAGTGTGGTTGATATTAACCACCTCCCCGATGACGCCACTGTCGATGAGTTCCCTGAGTTTGTTTGCCCACGGTGTATATCGCAACACATGACACACCGCCAACGTCACACTGTTTTCCGTACAAGTCTTGACAATTTCACGACAATCCTCTTCATTCACCTATTCAATTGGAGATTTATAATTACATTTTCAGGGATAAGCAGAAAATGTTACCTCTTGTCTACATATTTAAGAAATAGGAATCTTGGTGTTTGTATGCAGTCTGACATGTTGGTCATATGATGAAAAGTACAGAAGGGATGTGTTGTACTCTCCTTAATGTCTCTTAAGGATGAACTGTCTCTTATACCTTACTGTGACATGAAGACTTAAGGCTATATATGCTAACTTACTGTGACATTAAGACTTAAGGCTCAATGCTACCTTACTGTGACACAGAGACTTAAGGCTGTATGCTACCTTACTGCGACATGGAGACTTAAGGCTGTATGCTACCAGATGTGAAATGCATCTCCTTTCCAATAAAATTCCAAATTATGAAACCGGTAAATCATCTTTCATTAAATTGTAATTTAAACCTGGTTAATCAATTGCAGACTCGTTTGAAAAGATACACAAGAATGCTGAAATATTGAACAGAAAAAAATGTTATTTTGAACACAAAAACATATATATAAAATCAAGACGTAATTATGTCTACACAGTAAATACTTTTCATACTGACATCAATTGCCACAAGAAAGAACTGTGAAGTAAAAAATTGACTATTTTATAAAGTGGAGGTAAACAAGGTGGTAAATAAAACAAAGGGAAATATATTGGGGTTACTTTGTAGTCTGATTCACCGTGGACTTACTGAATTGTCTGCCTTAATTCCAATGTGACACAGAATTAAAAAACTTAACTTACCGCCATCGGTTTCTCCAGAAGTATGTTGTAGCCTTTCTTTGCAAAAGCAACAGCAGGATCCTATAAAGACACATTAATGTGATATCATCAGAAAATATAAACCTTCATTATAAAGTCAATATCTATTAAATGAAATATCATAATAATTCTTTACTCTGCTTCTGTTATCATTTATATACAGGTTACAGGACATCCTGTTTTGTTGAGGGGGGGTGTAATTTTGGCAGTTAAGTTGATTTAAACATATTTTATTTGTCATTCAACAAAAAGGATTAGGCAGTTAGGTGTGTCAACATGTAGACGGAATAAAATTAAATTGTAAACATCACACCAGCAAATAGTTTTAACTTTATCCATTTCATATTTCTTCTCCCATAACACTTTACTTTTTCAATTTTAATTTTATCTGAGTTCTGAGTCAGACCTATTGAAAAGTTTTCACATGATGTACGTGCATATAAGGTTTTGTATAATAGGTAAAATCTCTAACAAAGTGACATGCATGAGTTTGAAACCCATGCACTTTCAAGCTACCTAAAAACACTATTAACTCAATCAAAATGGCACTTCCACTTCTGAGTCATGAATGCAAATAAATAAAGCATCCAGGGTGTCAGGAAATCCCACACTAGGATAACCACGGCTATGCCTATCTCGGGTAAGAGGACTGCACATTGAAGAAGAGTACCTATAAGAGTTTAGATTTTCTGTGAGTAAAGCTTATTTTCTAAGTATGTTTCTGTGAAATAAAAAGCTTTCTTGTTTACTGCCCAGCTGTAATATGACATTTCTCAATTTATAATACAAACTGATGTTATGCAATTGTTTTTCATTGGATGTCATAAACCATTATGGGGTAAATGCATACAGCTTGACTGCAACCTAGATGTTGACAGAGAAATCACACAGCTAAAATAAATCTGTGAGTACAGCTGTAACTTGAGACATATGTGAAGGGTGGAGAAGAATGTCAACTCCCTCAAATCTTGTTTAGGGGGGGGGGAGGAGATGGAGATACACCAACCTTGTGAAGACGATCTGGTGTAGTAATGATAACACAATCCGACATCCTGTCTCTCTGACTTGCCTCACTCCAATCTGTGATAAAAACAAGGCAATGTTCATGCAGGTATTTTAAACATAATAACAGATTTTTCAGAGTCACATGAAACAGATTTAAGTATTAATTCTTAATTTCTTATTTTCACCTTCATTTTAGACACTAATGTTTTCATACATTACTGAAGTCAGATTTGACTTCATATGATCAGTACCATTTACACATCACAATATTAAATCAACAGATTTAATTTAGCCAGACAAACAGACCTGAAAAACAGTTGTCCTCCTGGATACTGAACTGTTGCTGAAGCTTCCTGCGGTAATACTCTCTAGGATCTGCTACTCCAACAATCTGAAAAGTCAAAATCACTACGAAATCAGTAAAACATCATTAACAGAGTGTTATGTTTTCTAAAAGTTACTTGTATTCTCTGTCTAGTCATCAGACTCCTTAAGGATGTATGCTAACTTTCTTGCTATCCTTGTGATTTATTTGTTTTAGCTATCTCCCTTTAAAAAAAAAATAAAAAAATATGCTGAATATACAACATTTGATATAGCGCCCTATCTAGCTAACATAAGACACTCTAAAGCGCTTTACAGTACATAGATATACAATTGTATACAGTCAATACAATTAGCATATATATATTAATCAATACAATATTGAGGAATTCGCAGGAGCTGCCTTATCAGGCACTAACTACTAGTTCTATGCCACCTGGCTAATATCTCCCTATGTGTGTATGCATGTGTGTGTGTGTGTTGGAGATGTATTGTATTTAATTAAGAGCTCAAGTATATGCTTGGTACAAAAGTGTTATTCAGTTTTATCAGCAAGAACATAATGATATTCATAAAAAGGTCTCTGTCACTTTGTGTACGGAACTCTTTTACAAAAGAGATGCACGTCAGTTATGTAGCATATATCCTTAACTAGCAGAAGCCAACATCATGACCTTTTACCTTTTCATCATACAGTAATAGCATTCCATAATTTTGAAGAACAATGTTACATCATACAACATAGGAACAGTTTCTTCAGCAAAACTGTTTTCTTCACAATAAACCCATTTTTCTTAGTATCAAAATACATATAACACTGGTTTGGAATGAAGAACTATTTAAGTACATAGTCACTCATGTTTGTAGTTTGACAAATGGTCAATCATTTGTCCCCAATTCATCTGATTTACATGAAACTTGATGGTAATGTATAAGGAATCTGCTTTGCACACAATGTTAAAGTCCCCTTACTAGTTTCAGAATTTCTCTTCAGCTCAGTAATAGAGCGTCTGATTGGTTCAATCCCAAGCAACATAATTATTGACTTTTTAATTCAATTTCTTTACTATAAGGAATTTGTGCAGTTCACCCTCCCTGTTCAAGGTACAGTAGAGTAAGCAAGTAACTCATAAAGCTGGGTTGTAATAGTCTACCAGGGCAAACATTTGAAAAAGTGTGGAGTAGTTTTAAGGATATATTATTGTGCATTGCACATAGTGTCAATGTAATCTTACTAGCTTTGGCTAGAGGGAATTTTTCATTACTTTCTTCCTATAACATATGGAATGGGATCCTATTTAGGTTCCTTATAAATTTACTGGTATATATTATTTTCTGCATTACATTCTTAGGGATCTTACATGGTCACAAGAGGTTATAATACCTTGAAAAACCTGAAAGTCCCGGGAAAAATTCCAAAAAAAAAATGTGACCCAGGGCTGGTTTTATACTGTTTACATGTGTAATGCACACTCCTTTCTTTATATAATCATTTCCCCCTAAAAAGTGTGCATTATAGGTGAATGTTTACGGTATTTGTGATCACCACACTGAGGGCCATACTTCAGTTCAGTACTTCAGATTCCTCCATTTATTTTTCAGAGCATGCAAGGATCTGTCTGTGAAATGTCCTTCGTAGAGTGTTGGATGACAGCTAGCACAAATCCTACAATCTTCTGTTTCAGGAATTATTTAAATACACATCCAAGAATATCAGAAATACTGATCACTGTATGTACACTATATATATATACACATGTATTCTCACCTATCAGATTAAAGCCTCCCTCTTTTGATTATCCGGTTCAACCGGTTTTCCTGTTTTTAAATGTAACATTTCCATGTTTAAATCCTGGCGGACCTGCAAAATTTATGTTTATGCAGATCTTGCATGGCTTTGTCAAGGCTCGCCTGAAAGCAGCATCAGATTACTAGGTCCAACCTTATTTTATTAACAAACAACTCTGGTCCAACCGGTTCAATCGTTTGGATCATGATAAACGAATGCAGCCTTTTAAGTCTTGATAGTAGGGGAAGTAAGATACAAGAGATACAAGATACAAGAAGCTTTATTTAGTGTCGTATATGGCATCACATTGAACATTAGCTCTGTGGAGCTATTTTTACGACAAACATAAGTATAAAAACAGAGTAATAACAAGGTAAAATGCATGCTAGTAGAAAAGGTAGGATTTTGCAGCATAACTATATACATTGAGCTACTAAAATAATCAGAAAACAGTTTGATGATAGCACATGCATGTTAAAAGCAGTAACAGTACAGCATAAATCATAAGCATAAAACATAAAAACATATCAGATTTTGCAAGCACATATTTCATATATATCACAGATGGTTAATTACGATACTTTATATTGGAAAATGATGGAATAAAATACTCAGATAAATTAAAGTAAAGTAAGAAGCAAAATAAAAGCAAAAATCTCAAATAACAAGAGGCCCATGGGCCTTAACGGTCACCTGAGTCCTACAGTTCTGTATTTTTGTTGTTGAAATATGTACCAATTTGAGTAAAAAAAAGTTAAGTATAACGTTAACTTAACTTTGTCAGGACCATGAGCTGATCATTCCTAGACCGATTTTCAGTGAGATCGGCCTATTAGAACTTGTTTTTTAAGTTTGAAATAGGTATTTACAAAATAGCAGCCATGGCAGCCAAATTGAATTTCTGATTGACCCGAAAAATAACAACACTTTGTCAGGACCATGATTCGATCATTCCTACAAAGTTTCAGTTCAATCGGCCAAGTAGAACTATACTTTAAGTTTGAAATAGTTTTTCAAAATGGCGGCTGTGGTGGCCATATTGGATTTATGATCGACCCGAAAAATAACAACACTTTGTCAGGACCATGAGTCGATCATTCCTGCAAAGTTTCAGTTCAATCGGCCCAGCAGAACTTGACTTTAAGTTTGAAATAGTTTTTCAAAATCACGGCCACGGCGGCTATATTGGATTTCTGATTGACCTGAAAAATAACAACACTTTGTCAGGACCATGAGTCGATCATTCCTACCAACTTTCAGTTCAATCGCCCCAGCAGAACTTGACTTTAAGTTTGAAATAGGTATTTTCAAAATGGCGGCCGTGGCGGCCATATTGGATTTCTGATCGACCCGAAAAATAACAACACTTTGTCAGGACCATGAGGCGATCATTCCTACTAACTTTCAGTTCAATCGGCCCAGCAGAACTTGACTTTAAGTTTGAAATGTAAAATGTTAACGGACGACGGACGACGACAGACGAAAACGGATAGCAATAGGTCACTTGAGCTAAAGCTCAGGTGACCTAAAAATGGGGCATTAATAAGATGAAAGTCACGAACATATAGAACACTGGCAGAGGTCACCTTCCAAAGTGTGCAACAGCCTACAGAAAACCTTCTGCTTGTCTAATCTCATTTGGTAGGCTATTCCACACCTGGACGGTAGAATTTACTCTTGGTATAATATCAAGTCATAGCGTCAACTTTCCTAAGATTATATAAAACTTAATTTTTGTTGATAAGACTCTTTAAGAATTCTGGAGCAATATTATTTAAAATCTTGTATACTTCCTTGGCCATGGTCTTCAGCCTACATATATGTAAAAATTCTGATTTATTTCTAGCTAAAAGATCTTTAATAGAGGAGCTATAATCACTATCAATAAAACGTAAAGCTCTTTCTTGTATCTTTTCGATTTTTCTGATATTTCCAATTCTGTAAAAATGCCATGCGAGGACATAAATTAAAATTAGATAAAATAATAGATTTAAAAATGGTGACTTTGCCTTTTTTTGTCAGGTGATTTCAAATTCTCTTGAGTATACATAGTTGTTTGGAAGCCTTCATACATAAGTTTGCTGTATGATTTTCAAATTTTAGATCACTGTCAATTTCAACCCCAAGTAAAGTCTCACTATCTGTACATGTAACTTGGTTATCTCCAATAGAGAAAAATGAAATTTGCTCTTTTGATTTCTTTCCTATGCAGATGGCCTGGAATTTTTCTGGGTTTGCCTGCATGCCATTTTTTGTGAAACAGTGAAGCTGAGTGAGTGAGTTAATTAATAAATTACTTTCATTTTGTTACACATCGCTAAGATCAAGAGCACTATCAGTGATATGAGACAAAGTGTTGGTTAAAAAGAAGTAACTATCATTATTGACAAGGACGTCCTTTTTACAATACATACCTTCAGCCTGTCTGGATACATTTGTGCATATTGGGAATAAACAGCACCTCGCATTCCTGCCCCAATGACAATGGCTGTTAAAACCGTGCTTTTTTTATCTTTTGACATTTTACCCCCCTGCAACAAAGAGTGTCAAGGCAATCTCAAAAAAACATCTTATTTGTTTTGAAGAACAGTGATAACTAATTAAAGATCCTGACTGGCACTGCTGGACTATTAAATAATAGATAGTGGAGACAGCATTTTAATTTTGTGGGACAATTTTATAAAAATGGGAAATTGAGATTATCTAGATATGTTATTCTTGTGTAGTAGTAGTAGTAGTAGTAGTAGTAGTAGTAGTAGTAGTAGACTCCCTGATGTGTAAATAAAATGTCACTCAACGTGATAAATTTAAAAGTTTTGTTTTGTTTCTTTCATTACATCCCTAACCTTTATCTGTACAATAAGCAATACTAACAAAAAGTATATAAACAACCCCCGAGGGCATAAACGTCAACTTTGATGGAGCCCCCGTACAGTAAAGAAGAAAAACAGTATAAAAACTTACCATGCAGATGTATACATGCGTATTACAAATAAAGCAATAATATACCGGAACATGTCATCCCATCCCATAAATAGTTATTTGTCACAGCACAATATAAGAATTCGGTCACCCTTTGACACCTAAGGCAATATGAATTTCGCGCTCATCGCTTTAATTAAATGCTACAAGACTTACTTCCAAAAATTTATTGTGACTTCAATAAATTGTATATTCCTAGCATCGATGATGTCACGCTCAACTTCTTGAAATATTACTGTTCACGGCATCTCTGCCGACAAGTATGTTCACACGAAAACTACCGGAAGTTCTTACTTTCACTTAAACCGGAAGTGTGATCCACATGTTCGTTTAGCGATTGAACAAACGATAGATCTAATAAAGACAGTCAAGATGAAACGGCGCACACTGATGCGGCCACCTCAGACATCAGTCGATGAAGCTAACACCGATGATAGCAAAACACCAAAAAAGGTTAGTGTCATTAGCATTATATTGTAACAAGAATCTGTTGCAAAAAATAGGAATTACAGGTCAGATCGATCAGCCTACTTTACTACTGCAGTAAAGCAAACATGCATGGCCGATATAAAACCTGACACTCTTCAGCAACATACATTCGAGAATAAGAGATATTTTACAAGACATTTACCAGAATGCCTTACGTCATACAGAGCTTACTTCTATGTCTACATGTATCTTTTAAAAAATGAGGCAGAGATATCGCCACCCTGCTAATATTAGCTGCGATAACGTAGCTTTCTAGCGACGATATTATTTTTATATATTGCGTCGTCAGAGCTACCCGGCCTTGGCAGAGGAGGCCAGGTATTAATATTAGTACTACCCTAATATAACAGGAGGTCGTCAGTTATTTTAGACTAAGCAAAAAGCTTAAATAGAAAGTCAAGAACATATATATGCTTTAAGATAAAATACAGTCCTTATAGAAAATTAACAAAGTGTAGCGGAACTGGACTGGGTTTATCATCGGCGACCAGGTTAAGCTCAATTGAATTAAGGATGCCCCTCCGAGTATCGGTAGCCGTGATTGCTAATTTGCACAGTCATTACTACTAGCGTGAACTTCAGACCACTCACTCTCCCAAGAATTTCGGTTCGATCCCCACCGATGGCATGGTGGTTTTCCCCCGTAAGCTTTCCTCCCCCACGAACACAACATTTGTTCCCGTAGCGGCGTCGTAATAAAAGCTCTACAGAGCTTATATTTGTTATTGACAATGTACACAATGTTAAATAAAGATTATTTATTTATTGATTTATATTTCTTATTTTAGAGCGTCCAACTAGAGTTTGGATGGTTCAGGGTTCAAGTCCCTGACTCTCCGGGCCATTGCATTTGTCTTTCTCCTGTTATAAAATTGCCAACCGATCTTTCAAGCACTGGGTGAATTCTTAGTAAGGTGACATCCAAACCTGAGTTGTAAATAGTTGTGTCTTCTGTAGGCAAAGATTAACAAAAAGGCGGGAGGAATGTAACGGAACTGGACTCACTGTCGATTGTCATTGACTGGGCGCACGCTGTGAGGTAGCTCAATTGGTAGAGCATCCACCTAGAGTTCAGATGGTCCCAGGTTTGAACCCCAGTCTTGCCATTGCATTTTCTCTTTCTCCTGTTACAACTGCAACTTTGTACATTTGTGGCAGGTTTTAATTAATTGTACATAGGATTATGGTTGCGTTATATCTTAAAGCACACTATTCTATCTACTTTTACAAATGGTGTCTGTGGACTGTGGCTTTTACCTCTTAAATCTTAACAGACGTTCTTGTAACCTCTAAAATCTAAACAGACGCTCTTGTAACCTCTAAAATCTTAACAGACGCTCTTGTAACCTCTAAAATCTAAACAGATGCTCTTGTAACCTCTAAAACCTAAACAGACGCTCTAGTAACCTCTATAATCTAAACAGACGCTCTAGTAACCTCTATAATATAAACAGACGCTCTAGTAACCTCTAAAATCTAAACAGAAGCTCTTGTAACCTCTAAAATCTTAACAGACGATCCTGTAACCTCTAAAATCTAAACGGACGCTCTTGTAACCTCTAAAATCTAAACAGACGCTCTTGTAACCTCTAAAATCTTAACAGACGCTCCTGTAACCTCTAAAATCTAAACAGACGCTGTTGTAACCTCTAAAACCTAAACAGACGCTGTTGTAACCTCTAAAATCTAAACAGACGCACTAGTTACCTCTAAAACCTATACACAGACGCTCTAGTAACCTCTAAAATCTAAACAGACGCTCTAGTAACTTCTAAAATCTAAACAGACGATCTAGTTACCTCTAAAATCTTAACAGATGCTCTAGTAACCTCTAAAATATTAACAGACGCTCTAGCCAACTGAGCTGTCTGGTCTTTGAAGTCATCAGGCCCCCGGGTCTCTCTACTGTTGTATCTGCTGATATTTATGTATAACTTAACATTAACTAACAGCTAACAAGGTGTGAATGACACATTCTTCCAATCTTGTATTACTGTGTATTGTAGACTGCAGCTGGTGTCCATGCTAAGAAGGGAAAGCCAGTTGAGGAGAAAACACGAAGATGTCGAATTTTGATCAAAGTCCTCCAAGTTGTGTTCCTCATCATCATCGTCCCCCCTTTGTTGAACTATGCATCTTTACAGAAAGAAGGGACTGAACTAAAGCCTGTACCAGGTGGGTAATTGTAGAACAAGAACAGTGATGATTACAGCAAATTTAAAATGAGGATCTTGGAAATGAGTCGGTTTATCAAGCCAATTCCCTGTTGGTATTATATCCTTTAGAGAGGCATAATGTATTACTTAAGTATGTCCTTAGAAGCACGATACATGTAGATATGGTAACAAGAAAAATCTTGATATATAACAAAATTGTTCATAGAGTTAATAACACAGTTAATCGTTTTATGTTTGCTTTGCATTATAATGTGTGCATGACTGTGTCCTTAAGTAAGTAACCAATCTTACAAATCTCATCAGACTTTTGCCGGCTTAGAAGATAATTACAACTTGGAATGAGTTTTATTTTGATAAAGATTTACATTATAATTTGTATATGGCTCTTAATCTACCTTTTCACAATATGTGACATTGACTTAAATTCAGTGGTTTAGCCTTCATCATCTTATATATCAATTGATCTTTGATTTGTACAGGAGAGCTTTATGATGTTGGCTGGGGACAGAAGATATTTAAAATGTGCCAAGGGAAGGGTCCTCCAACAGGTAAATATTTCAAACCATCGCTTTGGCGGTGTATTATGTCTGGTAGTGTATTGTGTCTGGTAGTGTATTATGTCTGGCAGTGTATTGTGTCTGGTAGTGTATTGTATCTGGCAGTGTATTGTGTCTTGCAGTGTATTATGTCTGATAGTGTATTGTGTCTGGCAGTGTATTATGTCTGGTAGTGTATTGTGTCTGATAGTGTATTATGTCTGGTAGTGTATTGTGTCTGGTAGTGTATTATGTCTGGCAGTGTATTGTGTCTGGGAGTGTATTGTGTCTGGGAGTGTATTGTGTCTGGGAGTGTATTGTGTCTGGCAGGGTATTGTGTCTGGCAGTGTATTATGTCTGGTAGTGTATTGTGTCTGGCAGTATATTATGTCTGATAGTGTATTGTGTCTGGTAGTGTATTATGCCTGGCAGTGTATTATGTCTGGTAGTGTATTGTGTCTGGCAGTGTATTGTGTCTGGCAGTGTATTGTGTCTGGAAGTATATTGTGTCTGGCAGTGTATTGTGTCTGGCAGTGTATTATGTCTGGTAGTGTATGGTGTCTGGCAGTATATGGTGCCTGGCAGTGTATTATGTCTGGCAGTGTATTGTGTCTGGCAGTGTTTTATGTCTGGCAGTGTATTATGTCTGGTAGTGTATTATGTCTGGTAGTGTATTATGTCTGATAGTGTAATGTGTGTGGTAGTGTATTGTGTCTGGTAGTGTATTATGTCTGTTAGTGTATTGTGTCTGATAGTGTATTATGTCTGGTAGTGTATTTTGTCTGGTAGTGTATTATGTCTGGTAGTGTATTGTGTCTTATAGTGTATTATGTCTGGTAGTGTATTGTGTCTGATAGTGTATCATGTCTGGTAGTGTATTGTGTCTGGCAGTGTATTATGTCTGGTAGTGTATTGTGTCTGGTAGTATATTATGTTTGGTAGTATATTATGTCTGATAGTGTATTGTGTCTGGTAGTGTATTGTGTCTGATAGTATATTATGTCTGGTAGTGTATTGTGTCTGGTAGTGTATTGTGTCTGGTAATGTTTTATGTCTGATAGTATACTATGTCTGGCAGTGTACTGTGTCTGGCAGTGTATTGTGTCTGGCAGTGTATTGTGTCTGGTAGTGTATTATGTCTGGCAGTGTATTGTGTCTGGTAGTGTATTGTGTCTGATAGTGTATTGTGTCTGGAAGTGTATTGTGTCTGATAGTGTATTATGTCTGGTAGTGTATTGTGTCTGGTAATGTTTTATGTCTGATAGTGTATTATGTCTGGCACTGTATTGTGTCTGGCAGTGTATTGTGTCTGGTAGTGTATTGTGTCTGGCAGTATATTGTGTCTGAAGTCAAATGCTATAAACCTTTGTTTCACTGCCACCGTTAATTCAATCAAAATATGACATCATAACTATTTTTGGCAATACATGAAGGGCAAATTATAAAGGAATTAATATAAGAAAAAAGATTTTATAAGAAAGTTGGCTGTTTATCTTTTCAATGTCCTGGGTGAATACACAACAAGAAGTATCCTGAATTAGTATTGTATATGATTTGTGTGGGTGTTTTATAGGGAAAATGCCATACTGTTAATCCGTTTAATGAATTAAACAGTTTAAACATGTTAAATCACTTGCTATTTCCGTTTTTGTTTTACGAAATATTTACCCTTCACTCGGCTCCATGCAAATCTGATTTTAACAAAAAAAATAGGAAAAAATTTGAACATCCTCAATTTCTACCCTTGTCTAGATAACATGAACAATTAAAAGCAGTTTCCTTGTCATCATCTGTATTAATATATAATTCTACATTCTAGTATAGTATAAATGTGAAGTATATATAGAAAAGCCAGGTATTACTATAAATGTTTTGTACAAATGTGAAGTATATATAGAAATGCCAGGTATTACTATAAATGTATAGTACTGTATAAATGTATAGTTCAAATTTGAAGTATATATAGAAATGCCAGGTATTACTATAAATGTATAGTACTGTATAAATGTATAGTACAAATGTGAAGTATATATAGAAATGCCAGGTATTACTATAAATGTATAGTATAAATATATACCTTATCTGTTCCAGTGATATTTGATGCACCCGGAGGACAGACCTCAGACGTGTGGACATTAATTTGGCCTCATGTGGCGAAGAATGCCAGGGTATGTGGGCATAGATACCATTTACTTTCATTTAATTTCATCTTACTTCACTTAATGGATCTTGCATCCAACATCAAACTGAACATTTCCGTTTTTGTTGTAAATTATAATTTACTATTTACTGCAGTGATATGAGTGAACTTATAATTTTTGTCTATGTAAACTCTATCCCTCGATTGTAAAATTACTTGTTTTATTTCAGATTTGTATTTACGATCGAGCAGGCTTGGGCTTCAGTGAGAGACCCTTGATGGTAGGTACTAAGGATACGGAGGTGTGATAATACATAGGATACAAAACTAAACAAACTCTAAAGTGTTAAAAATATTGGTAGTCTGAACATATAGGTTTTTGTGTAGCGGTTGAACCATGTTAGTCTGGACATTTTGGTTTGTGTGTAGAGTTTGTTAGTCTGGTCACTTTGGTTTGTGTGTACAGTAGAACCTTGTTAGTCTGAACATATAGGTTTTTGTATAGCTGTAGAACCAGGTTAGTCTGGACAGTTTGGTTTGTGTGTACAGTGGAACCTTGTTAGTCTGAACATATAGGTTTTTGTGTAGCGGTAGAACCAGGTTAGTCTGGACACTTTGGTTTGTGTGAACAGTAGAACCTTGTTAGTCTGGACATTTTGGCTTGAGTGTACAGAAGAACCTTGTTAGTCTGGACACTTTGGTTTATGTGTAGTGGTTGAACCATGCTAGTCTGGACATTTTGGTTTGTGTGTACAGTAGAACCTTGTAAGTCTGGACACTTTGGTTTGTGTTTACAGTAGAACCTTGTAAGTCTGGACACTGGTTTGTGTTTACAGTAGAACCTTGTTAGTCTGGACACTGGTTTGTGTGTACAGTGGAACCTTGTTAGTCTGGACATTTTGGTTTTGTGTCGGTTTAACCTTGTTAGTTTGGACACTTTGGTTTGTGTGTACAGTGGAACCTTGTTAGTCTGGACATTTTGGTTTGTGTGTATAGTGAAACCTTGTTAGTCTGGACACTTTCATTTGTATGTACACTGTACAGTAGAACCTTGTTAGTCTGGACACTTTGGTTTGTGTGTACAGTAGAACCTTGTTAGTCTAGACACTTTGGTTTGTGTGTACAGTAGAACCTTGTTAGTCTGGACACTTTCGTTTGTGTGTACAGTAGAACCTTGTTAGTCTGGACATTTTGGTTTGTGTGTACAGTAGAACCTTGTTAGTATGGACACTTTGGTTTTGTGTCGGTTTAACCTTGTTACATTGGAACCTTGTAAGTCTGGACACTTTGGTTTGTGTGTACAGTGGAACCATATAAGTCTGGACACCACATTGGTTTGTGTGTAGAACCTTGTTAGTCTGTTCATATTGGTTGGTGTGTACAGTGGAACAATGTAAGTCTGGACACTTTGGTTTGTGTGTACAGTGGAACCATATAAGTCTGGACACTTTGGTTTGTGTGTACAGTAGAACCTTGTTAGTCTGGACACTTTGGTTTGTATGTACAGTAGAACCTTGTTAGTATGGACACTTTGGTTTGTGTTTACAGTAGAACCTTGTTAGTCTGGACACGGGTTTGTGTGTACAGTGGAACCTTGTTAGTCTGAACATTTTGGTTTTGTGTCGGTTTAACCTTGTTAGTTTGGACACTTTGGTTTGTGTGTACAGTGGAACCATATAAGTCTGGACACCACTTTGGTTTGTGTGTGTAGAACCTTGTTAGTCTGTTCATATTGGTTGGTGTGTACAGTGGAACCATATAAGTCTGGACACTTTGGTTTGTGTGTACAGTGGAACCTTGTTAGTCTGAACATTTTGGTTTTGTGTCGGTTTAACCTTGTTAGTTTGGACACTTTGGTTTGTGTGTACAGGAGAACCTTTTTAGTATGGACACTTTGGTTTGTGTGTTCAGTGGAACCTTGTTAGTCTGGACGCTTTCGTTTGTATGTACACTGTACAGTAGAACCTTGTTAGTCTGGACATTTTGGTTTGTGTGTTCAGTGGAACCTTGTTAGTCTGGACGCTTTCGTTTGTATGTACACTGTACAGTAGAACCTTGTTAGTCTGGACACGGGTTTGTGTGTACAGTGGAACCTTGTTAGTCTGAACATTTTGGTTTTGTGTTGGTTTAACCTTGTTAGTTTGGACACTTTGGTTTGTGTGTACAGTGGAACAATGTAAGTCTGGACACTTTGGTTTGTGTGTACAGTGGAACCTTGTTAGTCTGGACACTTTGGTTTGTGTTTACAGTGGAACTTCATAAACTATTCTAAATGTTTCAAAATGATAATACAGTCAATTCTTCAGTTTCAATTATACAACAGTTTTTCAAAATGCATAAATTATGACTATGAAACATTTTCAGAACCTGACTGAACAAGATGGTGAGGACTCCAAGAGCAATTACAGGAACAGATGGCAGCCATTTACTGTAGAAAGGTGAGATTTACTGAGTTATCTCCCTTCAAGTGTTGTTGGATAAAGCATGTACTGGTATCAATCTGTTATACAGTTACGCACCCATCCTAGTTCTAATATGGTGTAAAACTTTTGTCTATTTCTTCATTTGTTAATATTTTTATGATCTTATGTACCACTATCCCATAACTAATCCTTATGTGCCACCATTCAATAACTAATCTGTAGGTGCCACCATCCCATAACTAATCATTATGTGCCATCATCCCATAACTAATCATTATGTGCCACCATCCCATAACTAATCTGTATGTGCCACCATCCCATAACTAATCATTATGTGCCATCATCCAATAACTAATCCTTATGTGCCACTATCCCATAACTAATCCTTATGTGCCACCATTCCATAACTAATCAGTATGTGCCACCATCCCATAACTAATCATTATGTGCCATCATCCAATAACTAATCCTTATGTGCCACTATCCCATAAATAATCCTTATGTGCCACTATCCCATAACTAATCTGTATGTGCCACCATCCTATAACTAATCCTTATGTGTCACCATCCCATAACTAATCATTACGTGCCACCATCCCATAACTAATCCTTATGTGCCATCATCCCATAACTTATCTGTATGTGCTCCCATCCCATAACCAATTCCTTATGTGCCATCATCCCATAACTAATCCTTATGGGCCACCATCCCATAACTAATCCTTATGTGCCACTTTCCCATAACTAATCCTTATGTGCCACCATCCCATAACTAATCATTATGTGCCATCATACAATAACTAATCCTTATGTGCCACTATCCCATATCTAATCCTTATGTGCCACTATCCCATAACTAATCTGTATGTGCCCCCATCCCATAACTAATTCTTATGTGCCACTATCCCATAACTAATCCTTATGTGCCACTATCCCATAACTAATCATTATGTGCCACCATACCATAACTAATCTGTATGTGCCACCATCATATAACTAATCCTTATGTGCCATCATCCCATAACTAATCCTTATGCGCCATCATCCCATAACTAATCCTTATGTGCCATCATCCCATAACTAATCCTTATGCGCCATCATCCCATAACTAATCCTTATGTGCCACTATCCCATATCTAATCCTTATGTGCCATCATCCCATAACTAATCCTTATGGGCCACCATCCCATAACTAATCCTTATGTGCCCCCATCCCATAACTAATCCTTATGTGCCACCATTCCATAACTAATCAGTATGTGCCACCATCCCATAACTAATCATTATGTGCCACCATACCATAACTAATCTGTATGTGCCACCATCCTTTAACTAATCTGTATGTGCCACCATCCCATAACTAATCGGTATGTGCCACCATCCTATAACCAATTCCTTATGTGCCATCATCCCATAACTAATCCTTATGTGCCATCATCCCATAACTTATCTGTATGTGCTACCATCCTATAACCAATTCCTTATGTGCCATCATCCCATAACTAATCTGTATGTGCCACCATCCTATAACCAATTCCTTATGTGCCATCATCCCATAACTAATCCTTATGTGCCACCATCCCATAACTAATCCTCATGTGCCACTATCCCATAACTAATCATTATGTGCCACCATCCCATAACTAATCTGTATGTGCCACCATCCCATAACTAATACTTATATGCCACCATCCCATAACTGATCTGTATGTGCCACCATCCCATAACTGTTCATTATGTGCCACCATCCCATAACTAATCCATATGTGCCATCATCCCATAACTAATCATTATGTGCCACCATCCCATACCTAATCCTTATGGCCAATATCCCATAACTAATCATTAGGTGCCACCATCCCATAACTAATCCTTATGTGCCATCATCCCATAACTAATCCTTATGTGCCACCATCCCATAACTAATCATTATGTGCCACCATCCCATAACTAATCCTTATGTGCCACCATCTCATAATTAATTATTATGTGCCACCATCCCATAACTAATCCTTATGTGCCACCATCCCATAATTAATCCGTATGTGCGACTATCCCATAACTAATCTGTATGTGCCACCATCCTATAACTAATTACTATGTGCCACCATCCCATAACTAATCCTTATGTGCCACCATCCCATAACTAATCATTTTGTGCCACCATCCCATAACTAATCATTATGTGCCACCATCCTATAACTAATCCTTATGTGCCATCATCCCATAACTAATCCTTATGTGCCACTATCCCATAACTAATCTGTATGTGCCACCATCCTATAACTAATTACTATGTGCCACCATCCCATAACTAATCCTTATGTGCCACCATCCCATAACTAACTGTTTGTGCCACCATCCCATAACTAATCATTATGTGCCATCATCCTATAACTAATCATTATGTGCCACCATCCCATAACTAATCTGTATGTGCCACCATCCTATAACTAATCTGTATGTGCCACCATCCCATAATTAATCTGTATGTGCCACCATCCTATAACCAATTCCTTATGTGCCATCATCCCATAACTAATCCTTATGTGCCACCTACCCATAACTAATCATTATGTGCCACCATCCCATAACTAATCTGTATGCGCCACCATCCCATAACTTATACTTATATGCCACCATCCCATAACTGTATGTGCCACCATCGCATAACTTATCATTATGTGCCTCCATCCTATAACTAATCATTATGTGCCATCATCCCAAAACTAATCATTATGTGCCACCATCCCATAACAAATCTGTATGTGCCACCATCCCATAAGTAACTGTTTGTGCCACCATCCCATAACTAATACTTATATGCCACCATCCCATAACTAATCTGTATGTGCCACTATCCCATAACTAATCATTATGTGCCACCATCCCATAACTAATCCTTATGTGCCACCATCCCATAACTAATCCGTATGTGCCACCATCCAATAACTAATCTGTATGTGCCACCATCCTATAACTAATTATTATGTGCCACCATCCCATGACTAATCCTTATGTGCCATCATCCCATAACTAATCATTATGTGCCTCCATCCTATAACTAATCCTTATATGCCATCATCCCATAACTAATCTGTATGTGCCACTATCCCATAACCAATCATTATGTGCCACCATCCAATAACTAATCTGTATGTGCCACCATCCTATACCTAATTATTATGTGCCACCATCCCATAACGAATCCTTATGTGCAACCAAACCATAACTTATCATTATGTGCCACCATCTCATAACTAATCATTATGTAATCCTTATGTGTCACCATCCCATAACTAATCATTATATGCCACCATCCCATAAGTAATCCGTATGTGCCACCATCCAATATCTAATCTGTATGTGCCACCATCCCATAACTAACGTGCCACCATACCATAACTAATCCTTATGTGCAACCAAACCATAACTTATCATTATGTGCCACCATCTCATAACTATTCCGTATGTGCCACCATACCATAACTTATCATTATGTGCCACTATCATTCTATCTGGGTGTGCCACTCTCCAGCCATTGTGTACCTGGTATATCAGTATTAATTTACCACTACTCTGGGTGTGCCGCTCTCCAGCCATTGGGTACCTGGTATATCAGTATTAATCTACCACTCCTCTGGGTGTGCCGCTCTCCAGCCATTGGGTACCTGGTATATCAGTATTAATCTACCACTACTCTGGGTGTGCCGCTCTCCAGCCATTGGGTACCTGGTATATCAGTATTAATCTACCACTCCTCTGGGTGTGCCGCTCTCCAGCCATTGTGTGCCTGGTATATCAGTATTTATCTACTACTACTGTGGGAGTGCCACTCTCCAGCCATTGTGTACCTAGTATATCAGTATTTATCTACTACTACTGTGGGAGTGCCACTCTCCAGCCATTGTGTACCTAGTATATCAGTATTTATCTACCACTACTCTGGGTGTGCCACTCTCCAGCCATTGCGTACCTGGTATATCAGTATTTATCTACTACTACTCTGGGTGTGCCACTCTCCAGCCATTGTGTACCTGGCATATCAGTATTAATCTACCACTACTCTAGGTGTGCCGCTCTCCAGCCGTTGCGTACCTGGTATATCAGTATTAATCTTCCGCTACTCTGGGTGTGCCGCTCTCCGGCCATTGTGTACCTGGTATATCATTATTTATCTACCACTACTCTGGGCGTGCCACTCTCCAGCCATTGCGTACCTGGTATATCAGTATTAATCTACCGCTAATCAAAACTATGTATCTTCTTTGATTTGGATTTGTAGGATGGCTGATGACTTGAACCATCTGTTGACTGTGAGCAGTCAGGAGCCCCAGCCTTTCATCTATGTGGGGGCCGAATTAGGGGCATTGGTAGCTCAGTTCTACTCACAGATGTTTGACAGGTGAGTAACCCCTATTGAACCCCAGAATAGGAGTTGTGGCATTAGTGCCAGCTTTGGCATTAGAGTAAGAGTTGGCGTTGTTGGTTAAAGATTTAGGGAAGGTAAGTGTTTACATTTATTAATGTCGGGCTGGTGTGCACGTGGCCAAGTGGTTAATGCATCTGACCGTCTACAATCACTAGCCCTCCACTCCTGACTCACGGGCTCAAGGCCTTCATGGGGCAGTTGCAAAGTTCTAGCCGCAGGTCGATGGTTTTTCTCTGGACACGCTGGTTTTCCTCCACCACCAAAATCTGGCAAGTCTTTAAATGACCTCTGTTAATAGGAGGTAAAATACAAACAAACCAAACCATTTATTAACTCATTCATCCCTGAAATTTCATGATAAACTATTTCAATCTTTGAATTGGAAGAGTTAAATTGTGTCTTCAGGGGTGAATAAGTTAATATAAACTTCACCATTTGTACGAGGATGCAGATGTTCGGCACCAAAGTTCCCGAGGGGTCCAGAAATGCTGCAGGGCTGTCAAAACAGCACTGTCTTTTAAACATTCACCTAGTATAGGTTGAGCACTCTATTTCTGCCAAAATACCAGCTGAAAGTTTTGATGACATTTAATGCAGAGTACAGGGTGTCAATAAAGAAAATACATAAAAATGTATTAAACTTTTTCTACTAAAATCTAGGAGTTTAAGTTTTGGCCAGCTGTTGGAATAAGCAAGTCTTTGTTGTATTTGGAATACAAGAAGCCTTAACATTTAAGTATCTATTGTAAAGAGTCTCAACTTAAGATTTTTGTTTTGCCAAAGTTAAATGAGTCTGAGATCTATTCCAGATATGAATATACATAGGAGGTAAGGAGGAACTGATAATTTATAACTTGTTGGTACAAAACAAATATCAGGTACTAAGGTTGTTATCAAAAATGTCTCTCTGTCCCCTCTTATGTTTATACGTGGAATGACCTTGACCTGTGACCTCAATATTATCTAGAAATTGCTATCCTTGGTGTGAAGTGGTCAGGGCACCACTTAAGTTGATTTGATGTAATTTCATACAATTAGTACATACGCCATTCTAAGGTTGTTAACTGAAAGTTGTTCTCCTCTTATAGAGGTCAAAGGTCAAAATGTGTTGTAAGTATTTATAATGGCATCTACATCTGTACTCAACTTTGTGACTGTTGGCAGTAGCTACATGTTAGACATTTGATCCTATGATGGTGTGATGCAGATATGTGAGGGTCGCAGTGACACAGTATTGAAGAGTAGACTCTGGTCTTAGTTTTTCTGTCATCATCAGCTCTACATGTGTAAAACGACTTTTCATGAGCAGTGTGTTTTTTTAAGACTGACTGAACTCGTACACAACATAGTACTCATTACTACTTCTCAAATAAAACTGATTTTAAGGTCATTTTGTTGAAGTACCTACGAAACACAAAGGCTCATGTCACTTTTTTATCACCAATATTTGTTGACTTTTAAAGTGAAAATAGACATTGTAAAGTTGAGAAATTCATTGAAGTTAAAAAAACATTTTTACTGCTGCAAGACAGTGTAAACTGAAGTTTGTATCAAAGATTATCACTTGAATGTATTTTGATATGTATGCATTCATTTTGCTTATAAAAATCCATCTGTGTGTTTACTGGCACAGAATAAAACCGCTTTGGACGAATTGGTTACTCGTTAATGAGAAAAGAACATGGTAAACTTGAGATTTGTGGAGACTATAAATACATGTGAGATTTAGAGTTAAGATTTGTGTATAGACTAAAGATGGTATACTGACCAGTATAGGATGGTTTTGGCCATTTATACCTAATGACCTGAACTTTCCCATCGTTGTACCCAATCCAGACCGTCCCATCGTCCAGTATCTCCACTGACCATGGTGACCAGTTGCCTCTGGTCAGCACCAGTAGCTGACAGGAGGGGTTGAGAAGTTGAACCGTATTAGACCAGCCCTCAGTGACCACCATATTCCCGTGGCAATCAAATTTAACATCATTGAGACAAAAATGTTCAGACGGACTGACAATTTTTTTTCAACTGGAAAAACCCAACCATGGTCAACGTGTCTCAATGTTGGTTCAAGGTTACTGTTAAAAGAACAAGGTGTTTTGTTGAATCACTTGTACGGTTAGCTACAGCAATAATAGTACCATTACCGGTACGATTAATGCTCACTTCACTTGGTTTCACAAATATTTTGTGTCCTTCCTTCGTGAACTTTGCCCTCATTATTTCTTGTCCAGCAGGATCATACTTGACCAGGATGTCGTCACTTTCTGGGTTTACTTCGTAGTCTGGACTATCGTGGAGAGTAACAAGCAGGCCCATCGAGTGTGTTATACAGATATATGTGAGGGTCGCAGTGACCCAGTTTTAAAGATGGTGTGCTTAGTTTTTGAATCAAGATCAACTCGTTTAATGCACATTTCGCTATAGCAACAGACAAGGAGTTGCCTAACTGACAGGGTCATACCTACAACAGTCATCCCAAAGAAAATGTCGCCAATGAAGCGCTTTTTGAAGTCAAATGATTGGATGACCTGCCCTTGGGTGTCTGTTAAAACACAGCACTTTCGTATTGATAGTGAAACCAGCAGATTTCAGGGGAAAGTTTGTGATGACATTTTTTCATCAGCCGCAGTGCCTCTGCCGCAGTGAAATACTTTTCTGTATTTTGTGTTGTTTATCCTATTGAATAATTGAATGGAGATATGAGATTTTACCCTCTGCTGATGTCTGATCAGGCCCTTCTTCTGTTTTGTGTTGTTTAGTCAGATGCTGGGCATGGTTCTCATCAATCCTCTCTCTGACAACCTGTTTGAACAAGATGGTGGAGCCTGGCATCAGTACTGGTAAGTGCCATAGTATTCATACAAATACAAAATTTTCAAATGTTTTAACATATGTTATGATGTCATTACTAGTAAATCTCAATTAACCCTTTCACCACGGTAGACCATAATGGACTCATCCAGATCAGTGCATGGTAGAGTCTACTAAAGTTACATAGGGGTGAAAGGGTTAACAAAGTATTTTAAATTTTGAAAAGTTAAAAGCACTTTTGTTTTCCCACACTTTTTCAATATTTTTTTTAAACACTTACAAAATATTCACAAATTGACAGTTATCGTTATTCTAAATTTTTCTTAAATTATTTAATCTTACGTTGTTTTTTCATGAAAAATATTGAAATATTAAACTGGCATTTTTTTTATTTATTTAAAAGTGTTAGAAAGTTAAAAAAAATCAATATATATATAAAAAAAACTACTTGTAAACCCCCCAAAAGTAAATCCAGTTTAGGAAACAACCTTATTCAAAAGGAGAAAAACAACTGTATAGCAAATATAACAAAAAAGGCAATGTCATGTTTGAAAACAACTATTTCAGTGTTTTTGACATCTACAGTTACTTAATTATTATTTGACAGAAGATGAATCTTTTGGGTGTACATATTTTTCATAGAAGTAACCTAGTGTTTGATGAGCGATTGTAAACTTTAAGAACTTTACCATTTTCTAGGTACGGTCAGCTGGTACCAACTTTCCAAAGCCTACAACTCGGGGCGGCGCTTGGACTCACCCGGCTAGCACTCCTCCTAGGTTTTCTACATCAGCCTCTCTTTGATTCAGAGTTACCGGAAAATGTTAAATATCGACAAGTAAGTATTTTTATTTGAATTCTTTGAATCTAAAAAATAATCAAAAATATTTCAAACGGACATCAAGTCGAATCTTGTGCATCTGAGATGAGAAAGTGATGATCAGCCAACTCTAAATGGTAAAGTAATGTAACAGGAACAGAAACATGCAATGGCTGCTCACTGGGATTCAACTACAGGACCTCCAAACTCTAACTGGACTCCCTAACCTGCCAAGCCGTCTGATCGGCTATATTTCCTCCCTCCCTCAACAGATAATAGAACCCAGGACCTGGGACCACACTCTATACAGATGCTCAACCCAGGACCTGGGACCACACTCTATACGGATGCTCAACCCAGGACCTGGGACCACACTCTCTACGGATGCTCAACCCAGGACCTGGGACCACACTCTATACGGATGCTCTATCTACTGAGCTATAAGTCACCAGTGTTTGCCCCTGTCCAGTTCTGCTACATTAACATGATCATTGATATTTCTCTCCTTCCAGTAAGCATATAACAGAACTGTAAAGAGTAAGAAGGGGTGTAAGAAATGTCTATCCTGCACCTCGTTTCAGGTGCATGACATCACAATGGGACAATTATGACTCGACGTCACAAAATCGGGACACCCGGACAGAAATTGCAATGGTTTCGGATGGTTTCTGAGCTAATTTCAGTGATTGGAATAAGAGAAAAACATGAAACCCTCAGGTGGAGTTTCCCTATCCTACACCCCTGGGCATGATAAAGTCTTATAATCCCCCACTTAGTTGAGAGTTGAGAGTACATGTATTGTTGTGGTGGTCAGGGTGTGATAATAGCTACACCATTATATCTAATTTAGGTCACTGTGGCTTATATTTTTCACTTATTTGACTAGCTCCATTTGTGTTGTTAGGCTTCCATTTTCATCCCAAAGGAAGGCAGGCATATGCATGTGTTTTACAAATATTTTCTAGTTTTTAATCTATCAACAACTAATTATTATTTTACAGAAACATCTGCTTTGTCACCCAAAACACCTGAGCTCTGTGGTTGACGAACATCACTTCATCAACGAGTCATTTTCACAGTTAAGGTAAGTCTAATCAAAAGTAAAAAGCAGAAACTGAAAAGAAAAAAATATATATATACATAAAGCCCCCCGTTTCATTTGCCACCTCGTTTACTGCCAACATATTTCAAGGGCCCCCTTTTTTTTTTACATTTCCCTCAATTTCTTGCCAAACCCCTTTATTATTCCAAAAATACAGGTGTTGCATCAAGTAAATAGAGGAGATCTGAATGATTATACAATAGTAGCCTGTGTATATATTATACATATTGAGGCACAGTTATATCCTATACTACCTGTTATGAAGTGTAGCCTCTTCCTGTATCAACACATAGAAATTGTATGGTCCTGGTACAGCCTACCACCATCAATAAAGAATTTTGTAGTGTATCAAAATGTTAATAGATATAAATTGTACTGTCCATGTTTTAGTCGTGTTTAATTTATATAGCAACAAAAATATATAATCTGAAGAACTCAACAGAATGATAAACCAAACAAAAGACGTACATTTAGTGTAATAATATTTAGTTGTTCTATGACATGATGAAAATGAATTAGATTTAATGTCTTTTCCCAATTGTTTCAATTTTTCCAGAACGATGCGGATGATAAAATCACTACCGAGTAACATATCTGTCACAATTATAAGTGGCAATTACTACGACGAACAGATGCCAAGTTATCTAAATAAGGTATGGATTTAAAATAACAAATTTACAAGTTTATATATCCTCAAGTGCAGAATTTGGTGTCAGAACCCTGGCAAGAAGGTTCAGTCCCGACTTAATTTCTACACCCTCGAGCAGAATATCAATGTCCCACATACTGGTACCTACATTATTATATAGACCATGCATTATAGCACTGGTTGCAGACACAAATGCCAGAATTTGACAATTTAAAATGGGGTCCCAAAACTACCACATGGCACATGCTTGGTTTAGCGATGGTTTATATGTGTATACATTCAGCAAAATGGAAATGCATGGGACTCCTATCGGAATGGGAGAGAATCGATGTCCTGGTTGTCGTCGGTTGTTGTAGGAATCCAAGATGGATACCCAACCCTATTCAGTAGAGCACCATCACAGAAGGCATATATATAGGATACATTAGCTGGAGCTTAAATATCTAGATTCCATAGTTGTGTTTTCGGTTTACAGGTTTTGACTAGCTAAGCTAACTGTCATCAGAACTATATATTTGTGGTTCTGGTGACAGAAAGCCTAGCTAGTCGGAACGTGTAAACTGATCATAAAACTACAGAATCTAGATGTTGGGGCTCCAGCTTATATATCAGTAAAGATTCTGGATATAAATATGGAATTGTCAGGTATAACATGTTTATGTAATACGTACACACGGTGTTCACCAGTGTGTGTTTTCACCGACTGTTCAGAGAAAAATATTTCCAACCCTCAATTTTACCCCTTGTCGTTCCCCGAAGATAGTATTTGGTAAACCATAGCAACATCACAAGCAAACTATTGTCATATAGTCCATCTCATGTCCCGTCATGGTGAATATGTACCGATGTACATGTAGATAGTATGCAAGGTTGTGGTTGGCTAATATCGTCCAAAAACTTATTCTACCAGAAATGTGTACTTCAGTGCTAAATGTGTGCTTCAGTGCTAAATGTGATGTATATTTCTATATTCACAGGCTTGGGCGAAATCGGAGCAGATTTTACTGACCAAACATTACCCCAACTCCAAGCACATTGTCATAAATAGTGCCGATCGTCACATGTTGTATAATAGTCCCTCCAGCGTTACAGAACCCATCAACAGAATCGTCCGACAGTGGAAGAGCAAAATAAAAGTTGACAAGAAAATTTAAACAAACTAAAAACACTGCCTTTTTGAATAAAATGTTTTTTAAAATTAAGTTTCTTTTTATTTCTTGGGTTTGATGATAGAGGAAGAAAGTAAAACAATTGTATAGAGTAAAAGTTTTCATTGCAGTGTACATGTGAATCCATGAATTCAATATGAAAGAAAACAGTTTTTTGTCACGTTAAACAACAAACTTCACAATCTCAATACTGCAACTTTCACAAAATCAGTATATCAATAATAATAACAAGACAATTTGGCAAATTATAGTCCCCCAACGAATGTGAAATGTACAGATGATAAGTTCTTGCAGGAACTACTTCTATATATATAAATGTTTGACAGACCCAACGTTTTCAATAAGCCCCTCACCAAGGTGAACATATACCCCAAGTATGAAGTTCCAGTGACTAGTAGTGTAGGAGATAAAGAGTCCGGACAAACTTTTTCTTTGATGTAGGTCAGAGTGACCTACTTTTGATACACAACACACCGCCTCACCAAGGTGAACCCTTACACAAAGTATCAAGTTCCAGTGACTAGAAGTGTAGGAGATAGAGCCCAGACAAACTTTTTCTTTGATGTAGGTCAGAGTGACCTACTTTTGATACACAACACACCGCCTCACCAAGGTGAACCCATACACAAAGTATCAAGTTCCAGTGACTAGTAGTGTAGGAGATAAGAGTCCGGACAAACTTTTTCTTTGATGTAGGTCAGAGTGACCTACTTTTGATACACAACACACCGCCTCACCAAGGTGAACCCATACACCAAGTATCAAGTTCCAGTGACTAGTAATGTAGGAGATAGAGCCCGGACAAACTTTTTCTTTGATGTAGGTCACTCCGACCTACTTTTGATACACGACACACCGCCTCACCAAGGTGAACCCATACACCAAGTATGAAGTTCTAGTGACAAGTAGTGCAAGAGATAGAGCCCAGACAAGATAGCGGAAGGACGAACACGACGCAAAACTATTGTCCCCCGTGGGAGACCAATAAGAGGTTCTTTTATCACAACCTGTTTCATAAGTCGTCTCAAAGCGGTTCACAAATTATTATCCGTGGTTATAGGGCCTTTGCAACCAGCCAATATCTTTCTCAACTCCCTGGGGAGCATACAGCCGGTGCTGCCATTTCGCCACTCACAGCTAGCATTCTACATTTCTAGCACTGCCCAACCACACTCATTTACAGCCGAGTAGACTGGAACAAGTGGAACAGTGCTGTGACTCGAACCCTCAACCCTTCGGTCACAAGCCTGGCGTCCTACCACTAGATTACCGCATTTCTTATTCCAACTATACATTGGAAATTCTTATATTCCGCAATACTATATCAGTATATGACATAGCAGCATTCAAGGTGTTGGTGTTACTCTATCGAGAATCGACACAAGATGGCTAAGTTAATGGTAGCCCACTTTCACTAGGGAGTACAGATCAGGATATTATAAACAAATTAGTTTGAAGCACTCCTTAATTCAGCCGAAGAAGTGAGGTTGTTTAGGTTTGTGTTACCTGAAGATGATGCCAGTGTCCAGCCCCACCCCAGGGACATCTTTAATTACAACAATTATACCAGCATCATTCGAATCCCTATTACCTGTGGATGCTTCCATTCAAATTTTAATTAGCGGTTAAGAAGTTGTTGAAGGTATGGGGTATAAAGTAGGGCATGGTTGTGGTGGTGGTGGTGGTATAAAAACTGACCAATGGAGACTCTGAATATAAGAGAAGCCATGTCTGTGTTTCTTGAGGATCAAATTAGCATATTGTATCATCCCGATACAGAACCTTTGATGTTGTCGGGACATATTCCAGGGGCGCAGAGAACGTAAGTGATCGTAGCATCTGGATGGTTTCTACATCAATCAGATATTCAAAACAAGAAACTAAATACGAAAAAACTTTTTTATTTGGTTTTTTTTTCATCAAGAGGAAGTGAAAATTACTTATGATTTGTTTGTTATTTTTTACTTATCATGATATATAACATTCATGCATAAAAGAACATTTATTTTAATATCACTTGTTTTGTGGTCAAAAAGCAAATGAAATATGAACTTAATAATCAGAGAATTGACAAAATCATAAATATATCTATTTGACAAGTTACTTTTCTTTGAAAGTAAAGCCAATTACTGACTATACTCTTAACTTCATAAACCAAATAACTCCTGAAATTATTACCCAATCACAGATTGTTTCTGGAGCTGTGGTAAACTTAAAAGTGTGTTCATTATATAGAAACTGAATCATAAAAGCATTTTCCCTTCTCTATCATAAGCTGTTATGTTTTATATGTGTATATATATTATGTGTACATTTTTACTGCAAATAAACTTAGATATCACACAAAAAACTTATCGACTACAAAGGCCATTACTGTTCACAGATAAATGAATAAATCCCCGTTCATGCGACTCGCTGGGAGCAGATGATGAGGTGGGCAGACATCTACACTTTCACTGGTATATATACCAATATAGACATACAGTAATGAAATTAAAATTTCTTATAAACCAGTCCCAAAAATCTTTTCGACAAGTCGACAGAAGTGGGATGCCAGTTGTACAACATGGAAATCATGACTGGCCCTCTTCACATAATTGTTACACATAGCCATGCATCAACATTTAGAAGAAATTTGATCCCAAGAAACCCCAGTACAAGATTACATTGCAATACCATGTTGAGCATTTATATGTTAAACTAAATAAGGGTGAAAATAATACTACAACCAGGCCTAAGGGAGAAAACAGTTAATAGGCTATGCACCAGGATATCATGTCATGCAAACTCTAAAATTAACAAAAAAAAAAATCTACAATGACTAAAATATTATGACGAATTCAATGTAAACCTACATATTTCTAGAACACCCAGGTTTTTAATATGCCAGTTAATTTTGTTGGTAAAGAAAATTTAAGATTAATTAACCACAAAAGAAACTTTAATTTTCAATGCTAATTATCTGCATTAAAGGAATTTTGTAAACAGCATACTTGTAACTGAAATGTTATAGAGTGAATTAGGTTTACATACAGGAGTATAATATATATTTTAAAACATTTGTATAAAGTGTACATGTATATACTATAGATAAATGACAATAATTAGCATCACTACAAATATAAGGCAAGTATTCTCGGAGTTACTATGAAAGTGTTTCTCTGGCAACGATGATGTTATGTCCACATGGAAAATTCCTGTCCTCGAGTCGGCCTCTACATTTATTTTATTTTGTTTAATGTCCTATTAACATCTATAAATGTCATTTAAGGACGTGTCATCCTCTACAGAACTGTTTTTCATTTTCTTTTGATCTAAACACCGGACAACTTACGAAGGTAGATTTAGATTTTATTAGAGGTCTAGCTACCATACCTTCCACCTTTATTATCCTATGTAGATATATATTTATATACCAGGTATATATGTGTGGACTGAAGATCATTGTTTCCAGAGACCACCGAAGTGACTAGTGTGAAAAGATGGGATCAAAATATTAGTCAAAGCCATTCACTAGAAAAATGTTACTATGATTTAATAGCTTAGAAGCAGCATGGCAACAGTAGATTAAGGTTATATTAGGTCGAGGGTGCTGAAACCATTGGTATCCCGTCCCCAAGCAAGACATTCATCTATGATCAATCTACCTAGTTACTCAGATGGGTACCATGTTTACCGAGAACTTATCCTCCGAAATATTTTAATAATAAATAAGTTAACTCGAGAAATGGACCCATTCATTTTTAAATTTCTAATGAATTACTGTTTAAATTTTCCTGTGCTTCAATTGGAGGTAATGGCCAATGCCAGGATGAGAGACACAGTACAATGAAACAAATGAAAAGTTAAAAATTCCCCCGAATCCAATTTGAATAACAAATAGTGAAGTTTATGAAATCTTGTCAACTGAAATATTTCAAAATATTTACCGATATATAGCAATTTCAAGTAAGAACAGCTTTGAAAAACAATGATCAAGTATGGAAGAAAAAATACACATACATATTTATAAAATGTGGGATGTTATAAGCGAATAATCAACACAATCACGTAAAATTTCAACATGATTTTTTCCATTACAGAATGAAAATCGTACAAATGGACGAGACTAAACCACAACCAGACATAAACAGTATAACACAGGACAACATCAACAAGGCAGGAATTCTCCTCTGGTTCTGGATCAACAAACGTGTAAACAATAACAAGCCTCATAAACACTTGAGTTCTGATGTAACCACGAGACGAGAGTTTGATTTTATAAATACATATTTTATGCATTATCTATTGGAAATATTTCTGGAAATTTTAATAGGTTCAGATTTCAAGTGTTGCATTTCAGATTGCGAATAATGGAAATAGCTATTAATAAATGTGATGTTTGAATAATATTGACTAATTTGGTACGCGTTGAGTCTATATTTAGATACAATCTAATAATAGTTATAACCATAAAATATATACACCGTTTTAAGCTGCCTCTTTGTATTAGCAAATATAAGCGAATGACTTAAGTTAATAAAGTTCCTTTGTGAACACCTAAATGACAGGAACTACATCCGATATATACTTCAGTACTGTAACGATTAGATTTCCTCATCACTTTGACAAAAGATGTTTTCAATGTTGTACCTCAATGGAACCTCACAGCACTATTTTTTTAATATTTTTGAAATGGAAAACATTTCTGAAATGATTTCTTGTAACGGTGTCGTTAAATCTTTTCAATTATGAAGTTGGATTACAAATGAAGGCTTTGAATGGCAGTGATCTTAACCGAGATGTAGGTACCTATCTTCACTCAAAATGAAGCCACCAATCTATAGATCGCCATTCCTACCACGTATTTGACCACGACTGTTAAATGGTAATGAGGTAGAAAAGGCAGCAAATGACAATCCTAGCTAATGGTTCACACATAGATCACCAGCACTAGGTTTTGATTAATCATTTTCACAACACATTGACAATGGGTTTGATGATAATGCCACATCGACCTAACAATTTCTAAACTCAGAATGATCAGTTTTCAAAGAAAAGCGTGCAAGAAATGAAACTTTATGAAATGAAACACAATCACGCAATTTTTGGGAAAATACACAACAACATGCTTCTATGGTTTTCATCATCTTAGCCAATCACAGCTGGAGTTACCAAATAGAAATCGAATAATTTACATTGGAAAGTCTTAATTTAATTTTCAGAATACCATGAAGGTCTAAACCTTTTAGCTTTGATTTGTTTGTTTCACACTTTTTATTAGTTTTTACTTCAGAAGGAGTGAAAAAAATATTTCCAATTTACCATAAATCACAACTACATGATTTGAGAGCAAGTTAACAAATTTGAATTGCTTTAAAACAATAAATAATACATGTAAACAAGTTAAACTTGCATTTTTGACAAAAAAAGGAGTCCAAAAAGGCTTGATTTATGCCTCACAGTAACATTACAATTCCCTGAATGCATTATAAAATCATAACCTTATGAATAATTGGTGTATATATCCGCATGTTTGATTCCCGCGATAGTTCACTCGCAGGACACAAATATGTCAGAAACGAGATTCCATACCATTCCACCCTGAATGAAAACATCATCAGCACTTTTGAAGAATCTTGGTGCAATGACAGCTGGGGCCTGTGATTTACACCTCTTCCCATTCATGATGCTCGTCCGAATAGTTTATCAGACTCCTCTTCAAGCTTAAACGCCTACATAATGGAGCATCGATCACTTCCACGCTGCAAGAAGAAAAAAAATCCAATAATTTAACATTATCACCTCAAATGATTTATACTTCAGTAATGATATGTATCTGTTTACATCAGTTGGGCATTTTTTTTTTTTTTTTCAATTGTGTTTATCACATAGAAAACCCATATTTAGTAGCTAAAAGTGGAAAATAATTAAAAACCCAAATTTTCTCACACTGAACCTTATTTTAATCAGTTAATGGTAAATCATAATTAACTTGTTGGTCAAAGTAAACCAGTCAATGCCCGAAAGCTGAACAAACAAACTTGTATAGAGCAAAGAAACGAAACTTGTGACTTACACCAGTGTCAACATCATCAAATCCTCGACTTGTACGGAAGGACTGTGTGCTTCGAGCTAGAGTCTTTGACATTTCCCTGGACGCTACTTCCTGTATCCAATAAGAAACAGTATTTATAGCAAAAAGGGAGGAAACTTATCAAAACTATTCATTGTAAAATCTCCATTTTTCACAAGACTTAATTATAAAGATTATATATAGTGTTATGATTATTTTTCCAGTAAAAAATTGTTTACATTTCAACCACTTTTAATTGAAAATACTAAATACCAGTGCCAGATAGAACCCCGAACCTGGCATTTTGTTTGTACAGATCATTCAATTCACAAAAAGGTATGATTTACCATATTGAGCAAGGTACAACCCGAGGATCTTGATTTTAAAACGGATCTGTCCACACCCGTATCTTATCTGATGTGATGAGATTGCTTCATAATGTAATACTGTTTATTTGTAATATACATATGTATTTTTATTTCTAAGAAAATGACAGCAGGAACCCAAATGATCTGGCACACATAACTTGTTTCTGTCGTATATATAAGCCACCAGAGCAAATTTTTTATTTGCAGATCACAATTTTTTTAGGATTTCAATCACTTCAGATCATTGTTAAATATTTTTTTGGGAAAATACGAAGCCTAAACAAAGATAATAGACAGTGACATAATGCATATGAAAGCCAATCTAAGTGAGTCACAGAAATGTACAGACCTCTCCGTCACTGTTGACAAGGACAGTCTTCATGTCACCATCAGTTACCCACTGCTGTGTTTTCATCACCAGGTCGGAGGGTGGGCTGTGTGTCTGACCCATACCAGAGCTCCAAACCTACAACAGGTCAACATAGGTCAACATAGGTCAAACATAGGTCAACATAGGTCAAACACGGCAATGTAAAGGATACTTCATAGCATCATCTAAATAGAGCCATATTTATTTTCAGCTCAGTTCAATTCAAAGTTTATATTGATCTGATATTTTACAAAGAAACACCACCTACAACAGATTTACTTATATTGTGTCCTGGTCTCCAGCTGATCAAGATATCTGGCTCCAAGCTGCCTAGCTAATAATTACCAGTGGCTCCTAACTACTGTAACACGGCCACTTCCCCTAAAAGGATGGTTGAACGTTTCAATGGTTAGCAGCATGCTTTTCTTTACATGACCCTAGTGGGTTATTGTTAACAAAGAACACTGTTTCACAACATTCCTTCCAGGTTAATCGGAAAATTAAAAGCAAGGAGGACGAAATCTGAAGCATGAAGGCTAAGTTTTAAAGATGTAACATAGATTCATGAAAGAAAGCATACACTAGACCTGTATAAAAAGTGATTTAACTGAAACAGTGGTATAGGTAGTACAGAAATTTTACATCAAGGACTTGTTTCATGGGTCAAAAACATTTCATGTTTGCCATGTTCCTTTTAATGAAAACCATGAAATCTTTTTGACCCATGATACACCAATGCTGAGATTTCCATTCCAGCCTTAGTTAAATGGTTTTGTCTTGACCACTTTTCAAACTCACAGTGCAGGCCTGGTTGGCTCGGAGAAGTAGACTTCTGTGAAATTTGTAGAGGGTTGATTTTTCGCTGTCGTCTTTCCCAGCTGTGTGCTTTAGCTGCCAACCACCAACAGCAATGTCCTGTAAGTCCGAAATCATAAAGTCAAACACAGTGGTGAGCCATTTAAATGTGTCTGGTATAAAGATAAAAAAATCTTCAGAAAAACACATACTCTCAACTTCCTGGAGTCATCTAATTGAATTTTAGTCAATTTGCTTAACTTGGGAGATTTAAAACAGAAAATGTGTTATTCCAAAACTCCTGTAAGGTATTTATCTAGCCGGAAAAAAGAACTTCTACTGTATATTATAGAGATATATGGTAGGTTTCCAATCAAAGTGTTTTGTTATGGCATTGTATTTTACAGATTCCTTCATACCATTTTGTATTTTTAACGGAAAAATTGGGAGCACAAAGTAATCTCGATTTTTTTTTCTAAATTGGGAAGATTTTGTTAGGTGTTAGAGACTAAATTGTTGTAAGAATATATAGAGGATGTCCTTGTAAGTCATTGTAATCAGCAGCAGGTGCTTGGTCAAGATTGTTCTATACCTCATCAGACGTATTGTAAATCTTGATGAATTTTCCTTCGCCATCCGTTTCCTTGATCTCCACGTGACCACTAGCTGAGGATGTTGTGGCAAAACCTGAGCTAGATGATGACTGGCTGAATTCCTCAACTGTATCAGAAAGTGCCACGCGCTTGCGTTTGGCGCCCCTTGCTCCAGATCGGCCTGGGGTCGACTCAGATGATGAAGATGACTGTGACAGGTTCAGTCTAAGGATGAAAAGGAAGCAGTTTGAAATGTGCACCTAGCGACAGAATTTAAATTCTTCTGAAAGAACTTTAATATGGAAGACTCTGATCCACTTAGATGGTATGCTCCTCAGCAAGTTCATTAACTCATTAACCCCTGAAGACACATTTGAACTCTTCCAAGTAAAAGGTTGGAATAGTTTATTCTGAAATTGCAGGGGTGAATGAGTTAATGTTACATTTATAACACTGAAAATATCCTCAATTTCACACTATCAGTGATAATCACTGACCTACTCAAGTAATCACCAAAATGCACAACCTTCAAATTAACGGTGTTATTATATAACAACCTTTCCATCTTTAGTACATCCCTTTAAACTAGAAACAATGGAATGAACTTACAAATGAAATTAAAAATTTAGGTTATTTTTCTATGTTCAAAAATAAGAAGCTTGGAAGTCATTTGAACTCTTAAATTATTGTTATTTTAGATTCTTTCCAATGCTGGAAATCTTTTACTCTATGCTATGTGAGCGTATAACTATGTCAATTTTTACACTTTACTATATTAGTATGTATGTATGTTGGACTAATGTCTTCTAATGATACTTTATATGCATGAACTTTTGTGCAATCTTTGATAATTTTAAACATGTATTTGTGATAAATGTATCATACATATATCTCATAAAATACTTGTTAGCAATCATGTATTTAACACCTACCATGTTTTGCTAACAAGAGGACCCAGCGGTAGATTAGATTGGCTGAACAGGTTCTTTATACTCACAAAATAAAGTTTTATCATTATTATTATATTAAACTAAACAAAATCTGTTTGAGATAATGTCTTGTTTGATATCCATCTCATAAAAATACTCAGTTTGTCTGATTTTCATATAGGACTTCATGTAGACTTTATCTATGTTTAGTGTTAATTTGGACTGGCTGAGCTGGTCTCTGCTCGTTTTCCTGTACATATCTATCTTCCTCACCCTCCCTCCTTTCCCTGTACATACCTTTCTTCCTCACCCTCCAGTAGTTTCCTTCTACATACCTTCTTTCTCACCCTTCCTAGTTTCCCTGTACATACATTTTTCCTCACCCTCCCTCCTTTCCCTGTACATACCTCCTCGTTTCCCTGTACATACCATTCTTCCTCACCCTCCCTCGTTTCCCTGTTCATACCTTTCTTCCTCACCCTCCAGTAGTTTCCTTGTACATACCCTCACCCTCCAGTAGTTTCCTTGTACATAACTTCTTTCTCACCCTTCCTAGTTTCCCTGTACATACATTTTTCCTCAACCTCCCTCCTTGCCCTGTACATACCTCCTCGTTTCCCTGTACATATCTTTCTTCCTCACCCTCCCTCGTTTCCCTGTACATACCTTTCTTCCTCACCCTCCAGTAGTTCCCTGTACACACCTTTCTTCCTCACCCTCCCTCATTTCCCTATACATATCTTTCTTCCTCACCCTCCCTTCTTTCCCTGTAAATATGTTTCTTCCTCACCCTTTAGTAGTTCCCTGTACATACCTTTCTTCCTCACCCTCCAGCAGTTTCCTGTAGGCCATGATTTCATTGTCTAGTTTAACTTTGACATCCAGGAGGTCAGCGTATTCCTGCGTCTGTTCATCCAGGATGATTCGTAGCTCGCCGATCTCCTGGTCTTTCATGGCTAATCGACTGAGGAATTCCTCCTGGTCACGAGCAAGCTGCGCCTCGAGGTCAGTGATGCGTGATATGTATGCAGCATTCTACAAAACAAGATGTTCATGAAGAATTTTCATTATTCTCCGAAAATTTAGTCAGATTGTTGAAGATAATCATACTGTCAACCATGTTTGTTTTTATGCTTTCTAATACTGGAATTGATTGACTTTCAGGAGCAGTATTTCTTCTTCTTTTTATTTAAGATTCAATCATTTTAAGAGGCATTCAGTTCCATGGACTTCATAATGATATACCATAGATCATGTTATTTATGTCAGCTTGATCCAGTTCATAATTGTCAGGCTAGCAGAATTTGATTTTGGGCTAGTAGATTATGTGTCTACTGTACCTCTGCACGAAGCCTAGTTAACTCGGATGACATCTCATCAAGGCGTTTACGAGATGAGAGAAGGTCCTGTGAAGACATATTCGAGCTGTTCATGCTCCTGTCCAGAGCCGACTGCACATCCCCAACCTGTTTTAACAACAAATAGCATCATCTATAATTGTACCAAGACTAACATAAATAATTCTCGAACCGCGGTTTGTCACAGAGCAGTAATTTTACTACCATAAACATTCCCCTTGGTGCTAACCATTCCAAATCAAGACATCAACTTTTGTTACTGTTACTATGTTACTAGTTGTTACTAGTTGTTACTAGTTGTTATGGACACCTAAATTTGGTTTATTTCTTGTTTAGATACGTATATGAAGTCAATGTCTCCGGTTCTTTTCATAAATCCTCATATCCACCTCACTGGGTAGCTGTACATGAAGTAATCACCTTCCTCTCGTAGAGACTTTCGACCTCGAGGCGAACCTCACGCAGCTGAATGTCCTGTTCCTCTCGCAAACTCTGGAGTGCATCTTGTAACTTGGCCTCGTAATCCATGCGTACAGATGAATCCACTTCCTCGATCTCTTGTGTTGTTTTTACTCGAGTCTCGTTTAACTCCTTCAAGTAAAATTTAAAAAAGTTGTGACCATACATTATTTTTGTTCTAATACCTGTTTGTAAGGACAGAGTTATCCCATGTAAGAAAACAGTCAGTTGGGGGTGCAAGAAAAATCCATCATCATACATTTGCATGGCGTTAATAAGTGAAGCAGTTTAGGAGGTCTCTATAAGGATAAGATGCCTTACAATTAAAATATTTCATAGATTCACTATGGCCTCCATTGCAAGTTTTCTCTCGATGAATTTGCAAATTTAGACAGAAAAGTTTTGTTTCAGTAGCATAAGCAAACAAACGGATAGGGGTTGGAATTTTTTGCACCGCAGGTCCTATTAAACCATGAGTGTGCTAGCAAAAAAGCTCAAATATTATTAAAAGCGGATTCAAGAAGCTTACGACTTCCTCGGGTCAGATTGGGATCTGGCATGTTACCTGTTCATACACCTGTGTTTTGAAGGACAGGTCCTCTTTGAGACTCTGAATTCGGTTCTGTAGATCGACACGGAGCAACGTCTCATCCTCCAACTGTTTCTTAGCTGTTGCCAACTGCCGCTCCAGTGCGGCCAAATCGCTCCGAAGTTTCTAAATGGAAATTCAATACAGAACTTAACTAAAGCAAATAATAAGCCACACCATATTATAAACTGGTAGCAAGGCAAAGGCACAATGTAAATTTGATATCGTTCAACTTCATAAATCAATGTGGACATTTTTCTAGCAACAAGCAGAAAAACACCCTCGTTAAATGTGAAGAATATGCACACACATACATTGAAAAGGAATTGGACACCTGCATAAGCAAATAGTGGCAGAAACCGTGAAGGATAACAAATGCACATCAGAACTTTCAGTTTACGCTCGACATTTAAACTAGTTTAGAAGAAAATTAATATTTCTCTCAAATGAGGATGTCAAAATACACTTCAAATAAACATTCCCCATCAATTACAAGATAAAAAGCTCACATCCGAGGGTCAACTACATTCATACTCTCAAGGACCTACTTAGCCCTGCATGTGAATACTACATTTTAATCTAGAGTGGATCTTAAACAGACTAGCAATTCTAAAGGAGAGCGACAAAGAGTTGTTAAAGAGTCATGATCAAGAGATAACATACATTACACTCTTTCTCCAACAGTTTCCTCTGGTTCTCCGCATTCGTTGCTCGGTTTTCCAGGTCAGCATTTTCTTTGAGGAGGGCTGCATTTTGGTTTTGAGAATCTCGCAATTCTCTGTCCTTCTTGTGGTACCTGAAACAGCATGATCATGGCACATTGAACTTAAAACTTCTCTAACAAAGTCATATCAAGGACTAAAATCAATTAGGAAACATCATTTTCATGAATATGTAACTCAATGATGCATTTAAAAATGATAATTTCAAAAATGAGACATTGCAGTTATAGGATATTTTTCAATACAAGTTTTGAATGACATTTTCAAAATTTTCATTTTAAAGTCCTATTATATAATTATATAATTACAAAAAGATATAGTGGGTTATGAAAGTGAAAGCAAGTTCCACAGAAAAGCAAGAGTCTGGGGGTAATAAAATTACATAATATAAATACTTTATGAAAATTAAATTTTGTTTCTGATTTAATGATTTGGTTCAATAAGTTTTCAAATATAACGAGCGATGATGCATAAATGATAAAAGCCTCATAAAATCCATCATTTTTCACCTTGACTTTAATTTAAATTGCTGAAGAATAATCTTAAAATTCCAAGCAACATGTGAATAAGTTTTACACGTAAACTCAGGACAGTCCTCAACAATATGGAAGATAAATATGGGACAAATATACATCAGAAAAATAAGAAAGTTGGAAAAGCACATTATTTTGATTTTAATATCACCGTCACTTTAAGTATAATATCAGTTAAAAAAAATTGACAGGCATCAATAGAGCTACCTGGTCTCCTTCAAAGGTTCCTAATTCAAAGACGTTTCATCCAAAATCCTTATTTACAGGGCCCGGAGTATGGGTGTTTTTAGGATCTGGATGCTTAAGATTTTAAACTATATTTATATATATATATATTTCCCAAAAGTTAAGGATCCCTGTCCCATGGTTATGTTTTTTTGTGAACACAATACTTTGCCCTTAATATTTTGTTGCATATGACTGTAGTACTTCCACTGAATAGGTACATCTAGCCCAAGTCGGTAGGAGAAAGAGTAATTTAATATCAAATAATCAATCTCAAGTCTAGGGTTCTGATCCTGGTCTAGCCCAGTTGAATTTTTTACACTCAGAATGCTACTGTTGATTATGCTTTATTTTGTCTTTATCATTTTTTCATAAATGTTCCAAAAGGGTATGTAAGCTTTTCCTGTCAGAAGTTATAGTCATGCTCGGCAAAAAAATACTATCCAACGCATAGATACCGTTTTTGGGAGTGGTACAGGGTCAGTTCACATCAATTTGTTGAACATCAAATAGAAGGTTGACATCAATATTTTTTGTGTATTGCCTTGTTTTACAGTGGAATACAGGCTGTTTCTCTGTGCAAACAAGAGGCCCAAGGGCCTTAGCGGTCAACTGAGTAATATCATATGTACTGGTCGATTTATTTTATTGTTTAGATGTGATGTGGAAAACAGCATGTAAACTAAGTGTAATACAATACTTGTCAATGTCATCAAAGGATAAGAATTTGAAAATATTGGTAAATGTTCCCTTTTGGGCCCCACCTTAGCCCCAAGGGTTGGGGTAGGAATCCCAATTTTACAATTTAGTAGCCTCATCTACCAAGGATGATTCTGACCAAGTTTGAAAAAAAATCCATCTGCTGGTTCTTGAGGAGAAGTTGAAAATGTAAAAAGTTTATGCACGACAACGGACGGAAAGCGATTGGAATAGTGTTTTGTTCCCCAAATATGAAGGAAAAATGAGGAATACCTTCCCAATTTCAATAAGGCAAAAAACAAATTACTTGTTTCTGCATTCATCTACAGAAATAATAGGTAGGTAGGCAATTAACTTAATTTTGGATTTTTTTTCACTATGGTTATAAAAAGCAGGAGTTCTGACTTTAACGGTGCATTATATCACGAAATGCAAATAAAAACTTAATGGTAGGCACAAAAATCTGGGGTAGGTAGGGTTAGCGGGAACACAAGATTTTATCTATTTGGCCTTAAGATATTTCTATATTTTCCCCAATTCATGCAGCTGCTTTACAGCTTTTGGAGGAAGAAAAACACTGATCTTGTTCCCATATATATATCATACATCTTAAAATTGTCGTATTACATTTATAACATTTCTGAAATGTTATTACTGTTGACCACTTTTCATTAGCCAAAGTAATGCATATTTGATAACATTGGTCTCTTGTAGTTCAAAAGAAACTTTCAGAAGTTTCCCAAGCACATGAATTCTGCATCATTCAGCTTTCATGAAGCAACTGAACAGGATTTTGTGAATGACTAAGTTCACAGTAATGTGATGTCATTGTATACTACAGCACTGAGCAGTGTGTGGGTGTGGGTGTGTAAAATACAGGCCCACAGCTAACCAGGGACTGTATGTTAGGACGATACTCTACATGTTTAAGCAGTTTACTTCTGTGTAAACATTTATAACAAATGGCAAACAGAAACATTGACAACATTTTGATAAAGCTGTCGGGTGGACACAGAAAAAATACAACTAGCAAGTGTTAAATAAATACATTTATCAATTCTATGACACATATCAATACAGTCACTGTAAATAATGGAGTTGAATTGTACATTAAAAAACACTAATACAAACAATAATGGTCTGATGTTATAATTCTTTATGTAGAATAATTCTAATATGATAATATCCATAAAAGTACTTAGGTATTTTTCATTGTTAAAATGATTAACTAAAATTCTTAGTTGAAAGTTTTGATAAGCTACTAAACATACAATATACCATCCACTACACTGTGTATACTTCTGTAGACTGCGTTTACCACAACTTTTGTTTTTAATTAAAATCAGATTATTAGTTGATAATCTTGACGTATCTGTATCAATTTTTGTTTGGATTCAGATTATCCATGTTAAACATCAAAGCCTGTCAAAGTGTGCTAGTTCTACGTACATACTCAACAACAAACGGAATACACACACTCTTAGACTCGTTATTAACAGTATCGGATGTCAGGCTCCAGTGACTCAGGGAGCGTGCTATCCCAGCTGGGGCCACAACAACACCGCCCTAGCTATAATAGCCTCCTCATGCTCTCACTGGATCTAGTCACAATGCCAGATTTAATCAGTGTACATGAATGGAGGGCAGTCTGTACACTCAGCAATACACTTCTGCATAGAGCTTTCAGCACCGCCTCTCCATTTTTTATATATTGTCTCTAATTTAAAAGTCTTCACAATTAATAGCTGTGCAACATGAAATATAAAACTTAGGAGCAAAACAAAAGCACTAGCTTGACAACAGTTTCAACTGTAAAAATGAAACATATCACACAAGTCAGGAGAAACGTCTTGAATTAACAAAACAAATAAGAAACGGACTATAGCTATGATAGTATATACAGGTACCGTCCGAATTTACCTGAGACTTTTTTTTACATGTTTTATGGTTTATTGAAAGCAAATCGACAGCTAACTCACTTGAGTTTCCAGTCTTCCGATTCTTCTTTGTACTTTCCGACTTCGATCTGCAAACGTGCTTTCTCTTTTGCAGTCTCATCCAACAGACGTCTAGCATCGTCAATCTCCGTCTGAAACACAGCTTTTATATTCGACCTGTCTCGGTTCACTGTCTCCTCGACGGATTTGATCTGAACTGTTAGTCTACTATTTTCTGTTTCCAGAAATCTAACCCTGTCTATATATGCTGCCAGGCGATCGTTAAGATTAAGCAGTTGGTCTTTTTCGATTTGCCGGGTAATTCTCGCCGGCGAGGGAGATCTCACGCGCCGGCCCGGCGATGCACTGCTGGTGGAAGGAGTCTCATCAGATGACCGTTGAGTATAAGTTGTTGTAGTGACCGTCCTCTTCGACGATTTTGTCGGCGTTCCAGTTTTGCTTGCCATCTTCAACAATTAAGCAGAAATCGAAGCTTCAAAACAAACACAGACCATGTAAACTTCGGCAAAATGGCCGCCAATGTGGATAGCGTCTGTACCCGCCTTTTTAGTCACGTGATCAACTACTGTGTGGGATCTCCTATACGCTTGAGTGACAGAAGTAAATTCCATTTCGTTGTAGCCGTCGGCTGGGATTTTACGAGTTGTAAATATTTTCGTAGTCTTCTTCCACTTCCGTTTAGTAATGAGACGGACAACAATATTTAAATGTAAGCTTTAAATTTCTGTTCAAGTGCATAGGCGTTTTCATTTTGTACCGTAACAGACACAGTCAAAGTTTAACCTGTCTTTAAAATATTGGGAACGTACATTGTACATGAAAATATGCATGGACATAACCACGGACTTAGATAATCTAATTCCTTGGCATAACTGAAATAGCTTGTGTTATTGTATTATGTTTATGCTAAAATTTGTAATAGACTATATAAATAGTGTCCACAATATCGATACATTTATGCATTGTTCGCAAATATGTACATGGCACCGTGTTTATTTATACCGCGAACAGGTGTTCATAGCAAAAAATATGCTATGACCCTGATGGTAAAACTGTCATTCTAAACCACTGTGACGTACACATGTATGACATCGGAAAACATATGTCCGGTAAAATATTCAGTTACCTATCGGTGATACATGTATATATATATATATTCAACAATTTATTCTGCGATATTCACATAGGAAACTTAATTAACGGGCTATCATTGGGATTACCATGTCAATATGTTAATCGAAAATTGTATCATAAATACATATTTTCAGTGAAAGGAGGGAAGCTATTTGCAAATATTAGAGAGGTATAGAATTATTCTCTGGAGATACGTTCTCTAGAGGACGATTTGCCCGTTCACACATGCTTCCTTGCAGTTCAAGTTGTCATCCGGCTGAGTGGAATTAAGTGGATATGTTTACACATATATTTATTTTGTAATTAAGATCAGAGGAGATGTTTTTCTTCAATTAATGTATCCCTAAACATCCCCTTACGCCTCTATTATAATTTCGGGGTTGTGATACTTATACATATCCGTCTTTATCAATAATTAAGCGTTTTATCTTAGATCGAAATTCAGACGTAAACACCCGCGTGGAACAACATACTTTGTTGTCCGAAAACAAACGAAAATAAAATTTGTAATTTACGGTTATAGAAAAATGTCAAGAAAACTTCCCGACCTTGCCGTACTAACAATAAACATATTTCAGAGTCAGATTTCAGGGTACGGCACACGTACAGTTAGAGCAGCTTAATGAACATGATCAATCATAAGTGGTTTCATAGACAGACAATTTCAAATAATTGAGAACGAAGCAAGTCAAATTAATGTCTTTTGAACAAGTTCAAATTTAAAAAATCTGGATCTACTATAGGTTTACATATGTATATATGTAACAGTTCACTTTCAAAGCCAGATTTCATCATAAAATAGCGGTAAGTCCAAACTTACTAGAAGATTAAAGTTGTTTACATTTGAAGTTGACTGACACTCAAAAAAGACGTGATCGTCATTTTCTCTATGGTAACCACAATTTGAAAATGATACTGTGGGAATCTTGAACTAAATTGACAAAGCAGTTTTTTTAGACAGTAGTAATACATGTACTCAGTTTTCAAATAAAACGATCAATTTTTGAAATATCGGGGCTATGTCTTATAGATTATAAAGGATTTTTGAAAATAAAGAGTTTTAAGTGTGGTAGGAAGGCATTTGTAAATATGAGGGAAAACGTATGTATAATATGTAAACAATGTTCTGTCCATGCCCAAGTATATACAAAAACTGGCTTGTGTTGTAGTTGTGTGTCAATGTGGCCATAAAATGGCATGTTTCTGTCTAGTGGTAAAAACCTTCTCGGACCGTTACAGGTAGGTCACCGTGGCTAGCTGTCGGCTATCCGGAAACTGGCTATTGATCGGCCGGTGTTCTAGTGTCAGACCAGGATTAATGATGAAGCACGCGCCATTAATGTAAATCACTTGTATTAATTGAATGTTCTGAATAACCTGACATAAATAAGTATAAAATAATTATAAATTAGACTTGCACGAGTTTGCTACGCTTTGCTTAAGAGTTTGTATTGAGACTATTATACGACATTTTATATAACATTCTATTTAACTAGAGTCAAACTCTTAACACGCTTTATTTAGACAGACAACCCATGTAATAAATGCAACACCAGGTGACTACAAATGGTTCTATGCCACCTAGCTTAATACCTCCACAAACTCAACTGGCTACGACTGGTTCTATGACACCTTGCTTAATACCCCCACATGTATGCTTGAGGCGTATTTGTCTCAGCGCTTTGTTTGACGGTAAGACCATGCTTAAAAAAACATATTTTTTCACAATCATAATGCCACCACACTTGATTGTTCAAGAGAGGCACTTTAGCATCCGTCCCTGGCCATTCTATACCATCTCATTATACCTAAATTCACAAGTGATGTACTGAACGGTAGCATTTTCAGTCGCAGTGTCCATGGTCCGTACCGTTACGGACGTATACTGACCGTCCTTCAGCGGTAGCTAGCCTTGCTCAAGTCCGAATAAATTGGCGAGAAGCACCAACCGTTTCAAGTACCTGGTTTATTGTGGCTGTAGTAGATCTAGACAGAGACGTATATACTACACTTTATATGTCTCTGGTCTAGAAAATGTTCGAGGTGGTGGGTTCGGGTGGAAGAGTATGGCAAAATTGGGAAACAATTAAAATGGTGGACTTCGGAGTCAAAGTACCCAACAGCTATGGAATACCGGGAACCGAAGCTGTCATATAATATCGACACTGACTTCTATCATTGTATATTAATGTACATAGCGCTAGATTTGCCCCTCATACACAGTTATAACAAGCAGGGTTCTTTAAACGTGTACAATAAGGATGCTTAGTTTGATCAGTCACTGAACAAAGCCTGATATCCGGGCACACCCGGACTTGTAACTTTATCAAAATATCTACCACTACCACAAAAGGTACTTAAGAATTATGCAACAATGGTCGATGGTTACATTGATAATTAACACAGTACGGAGTATAATGATTGTGAGACGACTCGGCGGGGACCCCTGTAAACGACTTGCTGTGTAGGCTTAATATTGAACATTTGAAATGGGATTTTTGAAAACTGACCGTGATGTTGAAAAATGACAGGATCATTTAAGCTCACCTGTAACAGAGTGTCATAATGATCTAACGTCCACTGGAACAGCGTCCGTCGTCAGTCCTTCGCCCACTTCCCAATTGCGACTGCCAATGTAGAGTATCAATGCTTAGCTTGCTGAGGCTACGACGTTGTTTTTTTCCTTCAAATAATGACCTTGACCAACTTTAAAGGTTAAAGAGGTAAAATCACTGATGATGTATTATACGTATCAAGCGCTCGAGATAATTAATGTAGAAAATAAGAATGTGCATGTCCTAAATGTACCACCGTACATATGTCAATTATGCTAAGAGTCATTTTGGTCTGTAGTTATGATATCTTGCCTGTGATGGATGCTGGCTTGTTACCAAATGTTGGTGACCTTGTCCTACGTTGCAGGTCACAAAGATGAGGTGTGTTTGCTTACACAATTCAATAGCATGTGAGCGACACAGGCCCGTCGAACCTTTTGTACTGGGATCTGGAAACCCATTTGGACCTCCTCATGGGTTGTAATGTCAACGGAACAGTCCAAAGATGGAAAATAATTTTCTGTAAGGCAGATACATATCTCTTCAAATAAATACAACGTTAGCTTTTATTTTGTTTCATAGATTTTATATATAAACAATGTATATATAGAATAAAAACAAAAAATTCCAGATCGTCCGCGGACGATCTGGAATTTTTTGTTTTTATTCTATATTTTCCTTCGCTAGGACTTATTTATTTATTATCTACAATGTATATATATATAGAAATGTTAACGCCTCCTTTCCCCAACCCCTTCCGCTGGTTACCATGGCGACATAACACTCCTGATGTGTGTGTTTTTCAAAGTACAATTTATAATCCTCAACACTATGCACCACATGCTATACTAGCTTTGTTCGTGAATATAAAAGGTTGATAAAAATAATTTCCGAAATTATTAAAACAGGAAAAGTGCGAGGTAATGATAATTTTTACTGAATTAAGCTACACACACAATTTGCGCCCCGTAAATTGGTTACCATGGGCTCAAGTAACCGATGTTTAATTAGATTTATATTTACATTCAAAAATATAACAGTAATATTATGGCTCTTAATCTATGTAGATATTTTCGTGATTATCAAACCGTCTGCAAGTGTACTAGTGAAGCACTGTTAAAATGTATACATGCGGTATCGCGTGAAAAGAGTGTGTACAAGTTTAATCACGACAGAGTTATGTTTCCTGTCCGAGAGAGACTTTGATAGAACTTTACAAGTAAAGTCAAAGTTGGTCTGATCTCAGGGCTGTTCCCGGGGAATCGGGCTAGTCTAATGGCCCAATCTACCGGTACAGTATCAGGCTATTAGTATAGAAATGTCCAATGTTTTGTGGTCAATATACATAATACTCCACCTCTTAGTCTTTAGAAGCGGTCTGGTAAACATGATCGCCATTTGATCCGTACATATTGACTTTCCGAGAATCGGGTATCAAAAAAACACTTCTGTTTTGTAAAAACGAGCCAATTCTTTTTTAAATGACAAAACTTTAAAATGTTCAGCACGTGTTTGAATGTTCAGCGTTTACCGGAGAAACGTTTTATTTAATTGGAATTCAGTTTCTGAAAGGAGCCAGGCCTTCACAGTGTAAAGAACCACATGCAGTCACGTGACAATATGTAAATACTGCTATATGTAGATGTGCAATAAATATTCGTGTTGTATACGACTAATACATTCTCGTTCATGATCTTTTGTAAAAAAGGCCAGTCAAGTAATTAAATATTTGTAACATATAATATCACCATCCAAGTAGTCCAACATTTAATGTGTTATTTCTCTGCAATGATGAGCTTTATTCAAACATTTGACGTTTCCGTTTCGTTTTTAAGCAATTGTATTAAGAAATGGCCTGCCTGGTATCTACAGCGATGTCAACTTTAAGATTCATTGCCTTTCATTGTGATGATATATAATTTTACTTCAAGTGTGTTATCCGAATTAAATCAAATAAATAATAAAATTAAAAGTTATATCACAATGGTTTTATCTATCGCTGAATGCTCGTCAATATGAA